TGTCACAAGGCCTGCGAGCTGAGGTTGCAGAAACGCTTGTTAGAGATGTGGCAGGAGTTCATGCAGGGGTTCAGAGAGGCCCCCGAGTTTCCCAAGCTGGCACTGGCAGAAGGACTGGAAATTGGCCAGAAGGGCCTTGAAACCTACCCCGACAGAGAGGCCTCTGGGTCTCATTTTGGGGAGGAGCTGGCCTGTGGAGCCCCTGGAGGAGGGCATGGCAACCCACTCCAGTATTCATGCCTGGAGAATCCCTCGGACAGAGGAGCCTGGCGGGCCACAGTCCACGGGGTCACAAAGAGTCGGACATGACTTAAATGACTCAGCATGTGTGCATGGCCTGTGGAGATGCCCGTTGGTGCTGGCTTGTCTGCGGGAGGTGGTAGCACAGCCCTTCCTCGCAGTCTGGCCTTGCACGGCTCCCTTTGTTCCAGAAGCTGGACGGGGCCCCTGGGTGGGTCGCGTCCCCATGCCCATGATGCCCATTGTCCACCTTCTCACCCGCCTGCCGTTGCCCAGGAGGTGGCCTAATTAGATCCCCAAGAGGAGTGTTTACCAGGCCCGAGTTTCCGAGGACTCTTTCAGCTAACTCCTCCCTCTCCCTGCCTGGCTCAGCCAGGCTTTGTGTGCCTGGAAGGGCAGGTTGGTGTTGGGGGTGAAAGGCCCCGTGGTGTGTGTGTGTGTGAGCACATCCTGGCCACCCACAGCTCTGTTCTGGGGCTGCGCTGGGGGGATGGAGCGGCCGTGGGGAGTTGCCTTGGCCCCTTGGAGTTTGGGTTTCTTAGCCTGACTGTCCTGGTGCCCTGGGGCTGGCACCCGGCCACAGAGACAGGCAGTGTTGGGAATAGTTTTGGCAACTGGTTCAGTCCCTGGGAGCTGCAGCTTCTGGAAGGAGCTCTGTAGGGAAGCCTCTCCCCGTTGACTGAAACCATGAGGCGGGGCCGAGGGTCCTGGTTTGGGAGCTGGCAGACCTGGACTTGAGTCCCAGCCCTTCTGCCAGCCAGCTCCAGCTGTGTGATTTTAGGCAAGCCGCTCGACCTCTCGGGGTTCGGTTTTGCATCTGTAACCCCCGGGCCTGACAGGTCATGAAGGTGAGGGGGGAGATGTGTGTGCAGGCTCCTGGTGTGACTGTTACAGCTGTTTCCCGTGCGCCCTGGAGCGGGGCCTTCTCAGGGCAGGGCCTTGTCTTGCTCTGTGACTGCTTCAGCACCGGGCTGGTTAGTACTCACACATGCCTCTGCTGGAGCAGAGACCAGTGAGTGTCGATTTAGAGGTGGCAAACTGCTGGGCTGTGCCACGCGAACGTTAGGGATTTCTTTTTTCCTGAACTAGAGTTGATTTACAGTGCCAACCTCTGTTGTACAGCGGAGTGACAGACACATATAGACATTCTTTTTTAAAATATTGTTTTCTATTATGGTTTATCCCAGGAGATATAGTTTCCCTCTGCTATACAGTAGGACCTGGTTGTTTATTCATTCTAAATACAATAGTTTGCATCTACTAACCCCAAACTCTGAGTCCCTCTGTCTCCCTCCCCCTGCCTCCTGGGAAACCACAAGTGTATTCTCCATGTCTCTGAGTCTGTTTTGTAGGTAGGTTCATTTGTGTCATATTTTAGATTTCACATGGAAGTGACATCATATGGTATTTGTCATTCTTTTTCACGGCCGAGTAGTATTCTGTTGTGTGTATGTACAGCATCTTCTTTATTCATCTGTTGATGCATATTTAGGTTGTTTGCCTGTTTTTGTTGTCCTGTTGTTTAGTCTCTTTTGGCTATTGATACCACACAAATTTTAAAAATTAGCTATCAACATTTGAAGACCGGTATTTCATGTAGAAATCAGATTTGTAGCTTGTCCAGGCACTTTGAACACTTTGGCAGCCCTGGCTCAACCCCCTCAGGGTTGCCTGGGTTAAAGAGGTGGCTGCCAAGGCTTGTGGACACCTGCCTGGGCCCAGGAGGAACAGACGGGCCTGGACCTCTGGCAAAGAGCCCCTTCTTCTGCTTCCAAGTATGTGGTTTTTCTGTTTTGTACCTAGGGCTTGAGGAACAGGAGCTCCCAGATGGAATAATGCGTCAGGTGGCTCCTGATTCAAGGTGGCCCCAGGTTACTCAAGGCAGCTGGTGCTCGTTGGGGGTCTTCACTTGGGACGCTGAGATTCTGGGTGACCTGCTGTTCTGTCTTTGGAGTCTCTGGACCGACGTTCCTTTGCAGCTTCCACCAGTGGCCACTTGCACCCCTCGTGACTGCCCCGAGCCTTGCCGCGCCTTGCTGCCTCCCTGCCCTCTGCTGCCTGCCCTGCCCTGGTTGCTGTCCCTGAGGCCTGGAGGCTGTCGGGGGCCTGGACTCCCAGTTTACTCCCTTGACGCAAGATTCCTGTTGAGAGCATGGCAGCCGCCCCAGGCCCCAGTGGCTGAATCTAGGGATTGCACATTTTCGGGTACCTTTCTCTCCCTGGAGACTGGGAGCCCTAGTGGAGAGAAAGCCAGCCTGGCACACAGGAGATACAGTGGGCCTGGTGTGCCGTAGGCATGATTAGCAAGCCTTTTGGGAGTAAACTAGCTAGTAAATATATGAGTGGTGCTGGAGAAAGAGGGAGACCCTCTGGGCTGAGCATTGCAGGCCTGGGGTCTGCTCTCAACTTTGTCACTATGGGTCCACTATGTTCTGCTCTGAGGTTCAGTTTTCTTTTCTATGAAGTGGAACTTGCTAGCTTGTCAATGGGTCCTGTTAGAAAAATTCAGTCTTATGTGGAAACTTAACTTAATGCAAGGGGGATTGTCTGAGTGAAGCTGGTGTTCGGGTCTAAGACTCACTGAAAAGCTGCAGTAATCGAATGAGTGAGGTCTTCACACAAGAACCGTTAGAGAAGAAGAAATCCTGCAGACAGACTTCACATGTGTGGCCACCTGACTTGGGACAAAAGTGGCTCCTCTGACACTTGTGAGGGAAGAATGTGGCTTCACTTAAGGCCAGTGGGGTAATCAGATGCCCTTTCAGAAAAAGCAGCTTGACCCCCACATCATACTGTACCCAAAAATTCCATGAGATGGATCAGAGCCCTACATGTAGTCAACCTGCTAGAGCAGTGCTTTCCAGGAGAAGCTTCTGGATGCTAGAGGGGCTGCATATCTGCACGGCCCTATGTGATAACCACGAGCTGTGTGTGGCCGTTGAGCACTTGAAATGTGACTGGCATGACTGAGGGACTAACTCTTTTTCTGATTTTAAACATGTTTTTAATGTAATCATCATGCTATTGTGGTGTTTTGCTCAGTTGTTCAGTTGTGTCCGACTCTTTCCGACCCTGTGGACTGTAGTCCACTGGGCTCCTCTGTCCATGGGGATTCTCCAGGCAAGAATATTGGAGTGGGTCGCCATGCCCTCCTCTCATGCTATTGTTATGCTCAAAAAATTAAGTGTAATTTACTAACCTAGTCCCACCTTCTGCTCCCATTTATCTACTTGGGCGCTGTGTCTTCCTTGCTGCACGGGTTTTCTCTGGCTGCAGCGAGCAGCGGCTACTCTCTAGTTTGGTGAGCGGGCTTCTCATTGCTCTGGAGCAGGGGCTGTAGGGAGCTCAGGCTCAGTAGTTGTGGTGCTTGGGTTTAGTTGCTCTGTGGCACGTGGGATCTTCCCAGGTTAGGCATCGAACCTGTGACCCCTGCATTGGCAGGTGGATTCTTAACCACTGGACCACCAGGGAAGTCCCAGTTCCCATTTAGATTTCACCACTTGTTTCAAGACAACTTTTTGTAGTTGCACATTTAAAAAAAATATTTATGTATTTGGCTGGGTCAGATCTTAGTTGCAGCATGTGGATCTTGTTCCCTGACCAGGGAACAAACTGGGACGCCCTGCATTGGGAGTGTGCATTCTTGGCCACTGGACCACCAGGGAAGTCCCTGCAGTTGCAGTTTTTTTAAATCAAGGTCTAGATAGAGTCCACTATATTGCATTGGGTTTCTAAGACTTTGGGCTTCCCTGGTGGCTTAGTCGGTAAAGAATCTGCCTGCAGTGTAGGAGACCCAGGTTCGATCCCTCGGTAGGGAAGATCCCCTGGAGAAGAGAATGGCAACCCACTCCAGTATTCTTGCCTGGAGAATTCCATGGACAGAGGAGCCTGGCAGGTCCATGGGGTTGCAAAGAGTCAGACACGACTGAGCAAGTAACACTTTTTTTGTTTTTTGTAAGATTTTAAAATTTATTGTATTGTGTAACATCCCCACTTTCTCTCATGTCATTGACTGGTTAATAGTGGGTTATTTGTCCTATAGGTCAGTAGTTTTCAAAGTGTGGACCAGCAGCTTCACCATCTCCTGGGAACATGTAAGAAATGCCCATTTCTTCTCAGACCTCATCTGGTCCTGCTGAAACAGCACTGGGAATGCAGCCCAGCGATTTGTGTTTTAAACACATCCTCCAGGATCTCCCCTGGGTACCCCTGCTGTTGTGACTAGCCCGCTTCTTAGATTTGGCTGATTGTGACCTGCTGTTGCCATTTACCTTAGCCTCTATATGGGACTGAATTTTTCATTTCATTAAAAAGTGTTTTATTTATTTTTTTTGGCTGCATCGGGTCTTCTGTAGTTGGGGCAAGCAGGGGCTGCTCTTCGTTGCAGTGTGTGGCCTCTCACCACCGAGCACGGGCTCTCGATGCACCACTTCAGTAGTTGTGGCACGTGGGCTCGGTAGCTGTGTCTCCAGGGCTCTAGAGCGCGGCTCGGTAGTTGTGGCTCATGGGCTCGGCTGCTCCATGGCACATGGAAGCTTCCCAGACCAAGGATTGAAGCCGTGTCCGCTGCCTTGGCAGGTGGACTCTTTACCAGTGGACCACCAAGGAAGTCCTAATTTCATTTTTAATCAAATTTAATTTTTGACAGTGATGTGTGGCTGGTGGCTACTGTATTGGACAGTGCAGTTCTAAGAAATACAGGAAACTAGCTTTATGACCTTGGGGTGGGCCAGGCTTTAAACAAGACCTGAAAGTTAGGTTTGGGCTAAGGTCGATAATCACACTTGGGTGTGAGTCCTGACCTCGCTTTCCCCCGATGCCCAGCCTCCCCAGTCCAGGTCAAATCTCGGTCTGCTTTTTGTCTCTGCAGAGCTGAGGACCCCGAGTGACCGCTCAGCTGGACCTGAATGCAGAGGCGGATGCTGGCGGTGCAGTGAGCACGGCCTGGCAGCGGGAGCAGTGCAGACCCCGTGTGCCCATGGAGCTGCCAGCCGAGGGGGTACCTCCCCAGCCCCACCTGCCAGGCTGGGAGAGGCCAGAGGCCTAGGCGCGCAGCCGTGAGTGTTGGCAGACAAATGCTCCCCAGGCCGTGGGGTTTCCTGCCTGGACCACTGGGTGGGTATGCCAAGGCGGAGGATGCCAGCCAAGGGGCGCTACTTCCTCAACGAGGGCGAGGAGGGCCCTGACCAGGATGCGCTCTACGAGAAGTACCGCCTCACCAGCCAGCATGGGCCACTCCTGCTCATGCTCCTGTTGGTGGCCATCGCTGCCTGCACCACTCTCATCATCATCACCTTCAGCTATGGGGTGAGTGGGGGCAGCCCGTGGGTGCTAGGGGCTTCCCTGGGGTCCAGGTCTCAGCTCTGATGTTCTGTACTTGTGAGGCCTTGGGCACGTCAGTATCTTCTTTAAGGCTGAGTTTCTGCATCTGTAAAGTGTTATGGAGCATATTTAGGCTGGAGGAAGACACATTTTTTAATTTTAATTTTTAGGTCTGGGGTGGTTTTAGATGGTACGTTAATTTGGGCAGATGAATGACCGTCACTTTTCTCCACAATGGACTTTGATTCTATTGAAGACCTGGGTCAGGGAGGGCTGGTGTGTCCCTGCTCTCACTTCTGGTATCAAGGCAGACATCATGAATCAATCCCAGCACTCATGCTCAGGGAGCCTGGCCGTGGTCTCAGAGTCCTTCTCAGCAAAACTGTCCAGGCTGACACCACAGACATGACCTGTGTGTGGCTGTTGAGCACTTGAAATGGGGCTAATATGTCTAAAGAACAGAATTGTCTATTTTGTTTCATTTTCATTTATTTTAATGCTCTGGCTGCGGCATGTGAGATCTTAGTGCCCCAGCCAGGGATCGAACCTGAGCTCCCTGCTGTGGAAGTGCAGAGTCTTAGCCACTGGACAACCGGGGAAGTCCCTTAAATTTACTTTTAAATTAGTGGAAGTTTAATTTTGAATAGCCACAGGTGGCTAGTGGTTGCTGTATAGGACGATAAAGTTCTAGGAGAAAAAAGACTAAAGGGACTAAAGGGTATTAATAGAGCGGTATGAATGAGGTAAGGTGGCCAGCACTGAATAGGTGCTCCATCAGTGCTGTCTGTGTCTCTGTGGGTCTCAGGGACGTTTGTTCGGTCACTTGGCAGCTAGCTACGGAGTACCCCTGTGGGCCCGCTCCCTGATCAGTCTGTGCTCGTCTTGCTTAGGGGCCCCAGAGGGAAACCAGGTGCCAGCCAGCTGTGCATGGTCTTCCCCGCTACCCTCCTCCCCACAGGGCGCACTTCTGCGCCTTTCCTTCACTCCTCGCCTGTCTCGGATGCCCTTGGTCATCATTTCCCCTTAAAGATCCTTTCGCTCTTTTAAGAGTTAGGAGCAGTGGCCCCTCCACCCCCCGCCCCCCGAGGCTTTCTGCAGTTGTGCTTCTGTGTGCTTACACCTGTGCCCTGCAGGGGTGTGCAGAGCCCCTGGGGCCCCTGGGGGGGGTGCTGGGGGGAGACGGCACCCCCAGCCGAGGCAACAGCACCAAGCCTGAAGTGACACAGAGCCTGATGTCTAGAGGGAGGAAGGGCACCGCCCACGAGGAGGGAGCCGCTGGTGACCTCGCTGAGGCAAGCTGGCCAGGCTAACCTGGCAGGCTTCCTGGAGGAAGTGACACCCTGCTGGATAGCCGTGGCATTTCTGTGCGTGTCTGCCCCACCCAGGACCCCTCCAGACACCGGGCCATCCTGGGGACGGCGTTCTTCACACTCGCTGTGTTTGTGGTCCTCTATGCGCTGGTGTACGTTGAGTGCCTCAACCGGCGGGGGCTCAGGGTCTCGGCGCTGCTCACCTGGGCCTGCCTTGTGATGCTGGGCTACGTGCTGGTGTTTGATTTTGACTTGCCGAGGAAGGACATCTCTGCCTTGGAGCAGGTAAGAGGGCAGGGGACCCTGGCGCCCCTGGGGGTTGGGTGTGCTTGGCAGCTCCTGCACTCCCTGGGCCTCAGGTCCGTCTTGGAGGCTGATCTGCATTGGGTGTACCGGCCACGGGCCCTCCCCTCTCTCCGGGCTGTGGTTCTGTGACTGAGAATGGGCCCTGGGCTGGTCTTGTTCTCTCCGCTCTGCACTGAGATGGGGGCGAGGTGGGAGGAGGGTCCACCTGAATGTCTAGCCATGGCGTTTCTGGAAATGACACATCTCTGATCAAAGAAGCAAGAGGCCCGAACTGGCTCAGGTGGCAGGAAAGGCCCGGGTCAGTCTGGGGCTTCAGCAGGCTGGCCAGATCCTGTTTCCTCCCAGCTCTGCTCCCCTGTCAGGCCATCCCAGCTCAGCACACAGACGGCTGCAGCGCCTCCAGGCTGCCGTCCACCAGCCTGCTCCAGCCAGTTGAAAGAGGGAGCCCTTCCTCAGCCAGCTTGAGTCACACTGGCTGGCCTGGGTCATGCGCCTAGCCGTGGACGGTCACTGTCATCAGGGGCTGGCCCCAATCTGACCACTGGGGCTGGGGTCATGGAAGCCATGCATGGAAGCGTGGGAATGGGCGCTGCTCCCCGAAGGGCAGGAGCAGGCAGGCCAGCTCTGAGAGTGGACGGGGTGGGTGGGCCCGCGCTGCTGGAGGGGGCAGGCGAACGGGCCCTGCCTAGCCTTCCAGTAGTTGCCATTTTTGCAGAGGAAGAGCTGGGGGCAGCCGGCACCAGGCAAGGGCTCCCTGGGCCCCACGGGCAGTGGGGCTCAGGCTGGGTAGGCTTGGCCTTGACCCCAGACCCTGAATCAGCTTGTGGGACATGATGCTGGCTGGGTGGGTTTTTTACTTTTTCCTATTTGCATGTGTCTGCTGCTGCTGCTCACCACACAAGGTGGGGGAAGGGGCCAGCCTGAGGGCAAGGGGGCACTAGGATCCTGGACTGGCCGCTGAAGACTCAGCATTCAGGCTTCTGGGGCCCCATCAGCAGAGCAAAGCTGAGTGGGGGTGGCAGGGCGGCTGCGCTCACAGCACGCTGTGTGCAGGCGCCCTTCTTTCTGTTCGTGGTCTTCGTGGTGTACACGCTGCTGCCCTTCAGCACGTTGGGGGCCGTCGTGGCCGGACTTGTCTCCAGCACCTCCCACCTCCTGGTGCTCGCCTATCTGATGGAAGCCTTCACCAGCCCCAGTGTCCCTGTGGGGCTGCAGGTGAGGGGCACGGGCCTTTGGGCGTGGGGCCGGCTAAGCCTCGGGTGGGGCTGTGGTTCGGCCTGAGGGCAGCTGAGGCTGGCGTGGGTGAGTTGGAGGCCTTGGAGACGGTTTGCTGACAGGCGGCCTCCAGGCCAGGCTTTATTCCAGTCAGCAGGTGCCCTGCCCTGCAGCCTTTGCTTTGCTGGCCTGGGGTACCCCAGGGTTCAGCCTCTCCCTCCAGCCCTGATCTTCGGGGTCCTTCCTGGGTCCACTGCACTGTGCTGGGTGAGACCCTGTTCAGAGGTTTCACCTGCTCACGTCGGAGCCCCACGGGACAGGGTTGGACACCCTGTCTTGTCTTCGTGTTGAGGGGTTATGAATGGTCAGTGGGGATGGACAGTTGTGTTTTCTGTCTGGGAGGCGAAGGCCAGAGCTCTGGGCAGCCAGCCAGGCGCCGTGCCTTCCTTGACTGTCCTTGGCGCTCCCCTGGGCTCTGTGAGGAGACATGCTCCTGCCTCTGTTTTAGTGGCGCTGGGTCCTGAGCCCTCAACACTAGGGGATGCCTGGAGGATGCAGACACAGGCCTGAGTCCCGTCCTGCGGTCACAGCAACTCACTTGGGATCCAGCCCCTGTCTGGGCCTCAGTTTCCCTGCCTGCACCCCCTGGGAGGCCAGGGATCGGGGAGAGGGTCTCAGCACCAGCCGGTCAAGGGGGCCAGTGTCCTGGGTGCATGGGCCAGGCCTGATGCCGAGCCCACTGTGGCCCACCCCCAGCTGCTGGCCACTGCGGTGGTCTTCCTGTGCGGGAACCTCATGGGCGCCTTCCACAAGCACCACATGCAGGACGCCTCCCATGACCTCTTCACCTACACCGTGAAGTGCATCCAGATTCGGCGTAAGCTGCGCATCGAGAAGCGCCAACAGGTGGGCCCCGCCGCCCCTCGTCCCCCTGCCGTCCCCCAGGCCCCACACCCTGTGTCCTTTCTCTGATGATGTGCTCGGTGTGTACGCGGGGCACCTGACCGGACACCTGTGCTGGCGTCCCCTGGGGGGCTGCCGGGCCACGAGAGGTGTGTGCCCGCGGGTTGGTGCAGGATGTGCACCAGCTGCTGGGGGACACGGCGTGGAGAGGATGGAGGCCTGATGCCGCCCCGCCCGTGCCCGTGTGCCAGGAGAACCTCCTGCTGTCCGTGCTGCCTGCCCACATCTCCATGGGCATGAAGCTGGCCATCATCGAGCGGCTCAAGGAGCGCGGGGACCGCCGTTACCTGCCTGACAACAACTTCCACAACCTCTACGTCAAGAGGCACCAGAATGTTAGGTCAGTTTCCTGGGGAGGGAAGGGCCTACCCTCCTACCTGGAGGCCCAGGAGGCTCCCCCAGACTGGGGAGAGGTAAATCCAGGCCTCTCCCCGGGCCTCAGTCTCCCCGCTTGCTCCCCCAGAGAGTGAGGTTGGATTACATGGGTACTGGAGGAAATCCTCTCTCCCCTAAAATGGTCAGACTCTGCACGGACGTGACTGCAGGGAAGGAAGGGGTCATTTGCAGGTGATTCTCCACGGGGCACAGGATTCCCTCAAAGGAGGTGAAGACCCCCTCAGGTGACTGCTAGTGGCCCCCCAGCCCTGACACCTGATCTTGACAGACTTAAAGGGCCTGCAGAATCTTAGTTGACGGCACTGCCCTGAGTGAAGTGTAGATGCGGGTGCCATGAGCTCCACTCCAGCCCTCTGCCTGTAGCTCAGCCTTCCCCCCGAGGCTGCCTGTGGCCTCTGTCTGGGCTGTGGATGGTCCAGAAGCACAGGCTCAGGAGCCGGGAGGTCTGGTGCAAAATGCAGCTCTGGCTTCCCAGCGTGTCTTCACCTCCTTGGGCCTCAGTTTGCTCATCTGCAGAATGGGGGTTCTACGAGGGCAGTGTGAGGATGAGAGGTGTGAAGGTGCTGGGCGTGGAGCTTGGCTGGGGGGAGCGTGCAGTCACTTCTTTGTCATTGTTCAGTCGCTCAGTCATGTCCGACTCTTTGAAACCCCGTGGACTGCAGCACACCAGGCTCACCTGTCCTTCACTATCTTCTGGAGCTTGCTCAAACTCCTGCCACTGAGTCGGTGATGCCATCCAACCGTCTCATCCTCTGTCGCCCCTTCTTCTCCTGCCCTCAGTCTTTCCCAGCATCAGGGTCTTTTCCAGTGAGTCAGCTCTTTGCATCAGGTGGCCAAAGTATTGGAGCTTCAGCTTCAGCATAATTCCTTCCAATGAGTAGTCAGGATTGATTTCCTTTAGGATTGCCTGGTTTGATCTTCTTGCTGTCCAAGGGACTCTCAAGAGTAGCTGTATCTTACCAAGGTTTTAGTTGCGAAGTCTGGTGAAACCAGGAGTGGGGAGGGTGAGAAGTTCCCAGGGGCCCAAGAATCTGCCCGTGATGGTACAGTTGAGTCATCTGTGGTGAGGGCTTTACAGGGGCCAGGGGTTCCAGAGGGCCCTGCAGACTGGAGCTTGTTCCATTTGGCTCTGGCATGAAGCCTCTCGAACTTTAATTTGTCTTTATGACAGGGAGCTTCTCTCCCATTGCTATGGAGGCGGAGGGCTTGCAGGAGTGACAGAGTACAGGGCTGGCAGATATTCAGGGGCTTTTGGCCCTGACCCTTCTCCCACCCCACCCCCAGCATCCTCTATGCTGACATCGTGGGCTTCACGCGGCTGGCCAGTGACTGCTCCCCCAAAGAGCTGGTGGTGGTGCTGAACGAGCTCTTCGGCAAGTTTGACCAGATCGCCAAGGTGAGCGTGCTGCCTCCGTTCTTCTGACAGTGAAGTCAGGAACGCCTCCCGCCGCACCCACGGGGTGTCCTGTGTCCAGTGCTGTTTGCAGACGTACACAGGGAGGCCTGGGTTGAATTTCGGCATCCAGTCAGCAAATGCTTCCGAGTGCCCCGTGGTCGGAGTGGAGGCTGAGCCAGGAGCCCGTCCCCCAGAGTGGGTCAGTACACGCTGGGGAAGGCGCTGTGCTTCCTGAGCTCAGAGGAGGGCTGCCTGGAGGAGCAGGTGGTCTGTTCTCACGACACGAGGGTGACAGCCTCTGGGGAATGCCGGGCCTTACCGGGAATCTGCCTTTTGACAGTATGCTGGGTGAAGAGCCTGCACGTTGAAGTCTGAGAAACCTAAAAAGAAACTCGAAGAGGAAAGGGAGCAGTGTCTCGGGCAGAGGGAGCCAAATGTGCAAAAGCCTAGAGTAGAGATAGCCCTGTGTGCCCACGTGTGGAAAGCGGCTCCGTGTCAGTGGGACAGTGTGTTCAGGGGGGCGCCTGGTCACAGGGTCACACATGCAGGGACTTGACAGCTGATGTGAGCAGTGGACCTTGACCGGAGGACCCCTGAGGACCCTTAGGAGGTGCCAAGCTGGGAGAGTGTTGGGCAAGGGGTGTCTCCAGGATACAGACAAGGCAGGAGGGGTCTGGAGACGGAACAAGGCTGAGCCGGGACCTCACTGTTTTATCTTCGTGAGTAGCTCCCGGTGTGTATGTTTGCAGGGAGAGGTCTTGTAGTGGAGCCTCAGTTCTTCATTAATTTAGCACATGGTCTAAGATCAGCTGAGGGTCAGCCCTGGGCTTGCGTGGGGCCTCTGGCTCCCCTCAAGTAGCTCCCGGTCTGCATGCTGCCTGGTTGGAAGAGGGTCACAGGGGGTGTGACTGGGGAGTGCCTAGCCCAGCCTCAGGTGGTCAGGAAGGCTTCCTGGAAGTGGTGGCCACCGTGTAGAGACTCAAGTATAAGATTTAGGGCAGTGGCTCTCCATCCTGGCTATGTGTTTGAATCACCTGGAAAGTTTAAATGAAACACCAATACCCATGCTCACACCCTTGGGAATTTTAAGAGCCTCCTGGGTGACTCCATGGGCAGAGAATCAGTGGTTTAGAGTTTGATGGGAGGCAAGTTCTGGCCCCACACTAGGAAGAGCTGCTCATTCTTGGGAGAGACTGCCTCACCAGGAGTGGGCAGTGGGTGCCATCTCAGGGGATGAGCTTCCCATCACAGGAGGTAATCAAGCTGCTGTTGGCCACCACTGGCCAGGGGTGCCCTGGAGAACTGTCTCCCTGGGTCCTGTTGAATGAGTGACTCTGAGGGCCTGTCTAGCTGGGAGCCTTTCTTCAGGAGCTTCTTTCTTTCATGATTTTCCCTGAACCAGCAGGTGGGGTTTCCCAGAGGTTGGAGGCCACATCTGTCTCTTTCCCTGCCACAAAGCCAAGGCCTTGCCCTTGCCTTCTTGGGCACAGCCCGCCCTCTGTGGCAGGCCCATGACGGAGCCCCACTGTACAGATGAGAAGAGGGAGGCCGCGGCAGGGGCCAGTCTTCAGGCCAGAGCGTCCAGTCCCTGGGCAGATGCAGCAGGCAGGGCTGGCTCCAGCCTCTTGTCCCCGTGGCCACCAGATCCCAGAACGGTAACCTCCCGGCCAGAGCCAGGCCTGCTCTCAGGGGTTTCTGCGTTGCCTCTGGTCTCAGCCACTTCCGCCCGCAGCGCACCGACCCAGCTCCTCCAGTTGTAAGAGTGAGAGGCAGTGGGAGGAGCAGTCGGGGGAGTGTGGCCTCCTGACAGGGGAGCTGGATCCAGACTGGGATCCTGCGCCTGGCCTTGGAGGAGATAAGGGTGTCCTGGCCCTCGCCAAGCTCTGCTTTCTAGGAAAGCGGTGTCCTCTCCCGGCTCCGCAGGCCGTGCAGAGCTCAGCGTGTGCCAGCCGGGGCAGCCCAGCGGGAAGCAGCGGGCTTACACACAGAGGGGTCCTTGGAGGGCGGGCTTAGGAAGGGGACTGCTCACAAAGGCCTGGCAGGTAGGGTACCCCAAGGGAGGGGTGGTGCCTGGCCTGGTCATGGGCGCTGGGTCAACCGCCCAGGCCTGGGGGGTGTGCCAGGGAGTGGGCAGCGGGTCTGGAGATGGAGGGTATCCTGGTTCCAGGAGCCAGCTCTTTGGGACCCTGCAGGAGGGAGCCAGGGCAGGGCTTCCTGGTGGGGTCTCTGTAAATAAAACATGCAGTTGGGGTGCAGCTCCTCCTTCCTGTTCTCCCACCCGCCAACCCCAGGCCTTGGTATGTGTGGCCCGCTTTGCTCAGGGCTTCTGGGGGTCAAATGGCTGCAGCACCACCTCGGATGGGACCTCAGACAGCCTGCCTGGCCCCGCTTCCCCTCCGAGAGCATTCTCCTCCATGACTCCGCCTTCTCTCCCCACGCCCATCTTTGCTCTCTGCTCTCTGCCCACTCCCCAGACCCTGTGTCTCTGGTGGCATAGCCGTCTCCTTGGTTACCTTTGACACCTACTGACCCTGAAGCTTATGGCTGCTGTTGCCTCTCTGTTCTCACCCCCTCCACTTCCTCCGCACAGACTGTTGTGCTGTGTCTCCAACAGCTTCGTGGCCTCAGGGCCTTTGCACAGTCTGCTTCCCTCTGCCCGGGATGCTCTTCCTCCAGCTCCCGACAGGGCTTGCTCCCTCGGCGCCTTTGGGACATTTTTTAAAATTACTTTCACTGGGAGGCCTTCTCTGGACTCCTGGAAGCTTCCTCTTCCTCCTCATTCCTCATTTTTTTCCCATAGCACTTAACATTATGAGTGTCTATCGATTATATTTATCTAGTGTCCAGCCCTACCTCTGGCTGCAGGATTGTTTTCTGTTTTGCTCACTGCTGTGTCCCAGTGTCTGGGGCAGGGCAGGGGACTCATTAGAAGCTCAAACAGTGCATGGGTGAATGAAACCAAAGGTAGTGGCTCCCTAGAGGCACTTAGGTGGCCGCCCTTCATAACACTTGATTTCATCCTTGACACCTGCTTAGGGTTCCTCCTACAGAGCTCCTGCGTCCCCAGTCCTTTTGCCAGGCCCAGAAGCAGCTGCTGGTGTTTGATGCCCTGGGGGAAAAAGCCTCTGGCCAGAAAAGAGCCTGGCTGACTCTGGAGGGTGTGGGGAGGTGGCTTACAGGCCTGCTCCCTGGCCCCTGGGCCATCTGTGGACCAGGCCTCTCCCTTGCCTTGCAGGCCAACGAGTGCATGCGGATTAAGATCCTGGGCGACTGCTACTACTGCGTGTCTGGCTTGCCCGTGTCCCTGCCCAACCATGCCCGCAACTGTGTGAAGATGGGGCTGGACATGTGTGAGGCCATCAAGTAGGTAACACAGGCAAGTCCAGGGCCCGGGGGTCTGTCTTCACGACGGACCCTTCCTGCTCCCCAAGGCATGCTGGGGAACACATTGTCCCCACTTTGCAGATTGAGGAAACTGAGGCTGCAAGGGTGCAGGAGCCTTACCTGGACCACTCAGCAGTGTGTTTACATCCCTCCCTCTGGGCCCTACTGGGACTCCGAGTAGCAGAGAACCCCCGAAGTGAGGATGGTTGGGGAACTCTGTTTCTCCGGAGACAGCCTTTGCAGCGGCAGGGGAGGTGGCCAACAAGGGTCTGACTCCAGGCCTCCATCTGCTTCCTGCTCCCCCTGTGAAGACCCTGGGAGCTGGGGAACTAGCCCTCAGCTGCAGGGAGACCCCCAGCCTCCCACGACTCCTTCCCACCAACATTTAGCTCCCCATGATGTTCTCTGGAGCCCAGGGCAGCTGTGGTCTGTGGTCAGGCGGGTGGTGGAGGGCTAGGCGGGCCTGGCCACCCCAGCCAGTGCTCAGGACAGAGCAGGGTGCAGCTGGGCTGCCTGGCAAGTGCACAGCCCCTGTGAAAACCCAGCTCCAGCTTGTCTTCCTCCTGAAGTCTCACCAGACAAACCACCGCCCGGGAGTCAGGGGTCCAGGTCACAGCCTGGCTGTGCATCACCGCCTGAGTGGTCTCAGGCTGGTGCTGCGCTCTCGGGGCTCACTTCCCTCCCTGGAGAATGTGGATGTTGTGTGGGGCCCCCTGCCTCCTCTGGTTTTGACCCAGTAGGCTGGGTCCGTCTCTAGCCCATTGGTGGGCTCATGGCACTGGCTGCTCCCTGGTCCCTCCCCCACTTGTCAGAGGGACCCCAGAGGCCCTGTTCATGTTGGGGATGCCTTGTGCCCTGGGGAAGCCTAAGTTGGGGCTCCTTGTACTGAGCGGGGCTGCAGTCCTCAGTGCTCCCATTTCCCAGAGGTGGGGGCGTGTAAGGCCCCCCAAGGCTGTCCCCGTGTTCTTTGTCTCTGCTGGGTTTGGGTGGTGCCCAGATCCTTCTGCAGACACCAGCTGGGGCTGCCGGGCAGGGGGAACACCCAGTGATAGACTCTTAAGGCCTTCCCCATGAGCCATGGTGACTGGTGACAATTGCATTTCTTCCTTTTTTTAGTAGCCTTTGAACACGGGGGTGACCACATCCATTTGCACACTCCTGGGGATGGGGGCGCTTACCCCCTTTCAAGGAGGCAGCCCCTCAGGCTGAGAAGCTTCTGTCCTGTGAGCTCGGCCTGCCCTGTCCCCACATGGTGCTCACACCCCGGACAGGGACCTTGAGCCTGTCCTAGGGTTTAGGGCCCCTCTGGAGCCCTGGCTGAGGTGGGGTGACCGGCCTCTGCCCCAGGCAGGTGCGGGAGGCCACAGGCGTGGACATCAGCATGCGCGTGGGCATCCACTCGGGGAACGTGCTGTGCGGTGTCATCGGGCTGCGCAAGTGGCAGTATGACGTGTGGTCCCACGACGTGTCCCTGGCCAACAGGATGGAGGCAGCCGGAGTCCCTGGGTGAGGCTCAGCTGGTCGGCGGGCGGGTCAGAGGTCAGGGGGTGGACTGTGGGCCGATGTGGGGGAGGGTCAGCCTGGGCTCAGAGAGGGAGATCCGGTACCCCGAAGTGAGGGGGCACTCGCCTGGGCTCCGGCCTGCTCGGCCCTGTCTGCTGTGCACCCCCCGGGTGGGTACCCCCCACCCTCTCTGGAGGCCCTGATGCTGTCTGACTCTGGTCTCCCCCAGCCGGGTGCACATCACAGAGGCGACGCTGAAGCACCTGGACAAGGCGTACGAGGTGGAGGACGGGCACGGGCAGCAGCGGGACCCTTACCTCAAAGAGATGAACATCCGCACCTACCTGGTCATCGACCCCCGGGTACGAGGCTCGGCTGCGGCGGGGCGGGGGTGGGTACTGTGCCGGAGCCAGGGTCCACACCTGGGGAGCGGTGCCCAAGGAGAGAGCGGTGGGAGGGGGGAGCGTCCCGTCACCAGGTATGTTTTAGGCCCCAGGTGACATCTTCTCTGGGCCTCAGTGTTCTTTTCTGTGAAATGGGAATGGCAACAGAGCTTAGCTCAGGAGGAGAAAAAGCCAGTCTGAGTGAAGCCTTCACCATGAGCTGGGTGCATCGTCAACAGTCTCCCAACTAGCTCTAGTGACATTCTAGTCACTATTAGTTTATTTTCCACGAGGCTGTCAGTAATCTTCCAGATTTTCAAGGCACATTTACAAAACAAGCCTTGGATGGGAGTCAGGGGAAGCAAGGGTCGGCCAAGGGGCTGCTAGGCAGGAGGAGTGTCCGTGTGTCTGACCCGCGTGTCCACCTGCCCCGCTGGTGCCTCTGTGGGCCCCTCTTTCTTCAGGACCCCCGTGGCGGGGCAGGGTGGGAGGCGGCGGGGCCTCTTTCAGACGCTCGGCCCTGGTCCTGCCCCCAGCCCACCCGCGTCTGCAGGGGCCATTCTTTCCCGCCCGAGGGAGGCCAGCTCGTCTGGCCGTCCTCGGTGAGTCATCCTTGGGGCTTGCTCAAGAATGTCGGCCCGGGCCGGCTCTCTGGGCTCCCTCTCACTCTGGCCTTGGCTGTCCTCAGGGCTGACCCGGCTGCCAGTCTCCAGGGGGGCTGAGGGCCAATCTCTGAACTCCTCACCCCCTCGGGCTTCATCCTGCCGGCATTCCCAGGGCACCCTCGGTGGGCCAGCAACTCTGAGTTGGCATCCGGGGAAACCCCGCCTGGGTACCATGGGGCTGCTCCTGGCCCACCATGGGGGAACCCACCCGGCCCCTCACTTGGCCCCTCACCCGGCAGCTCTGGGCCCCGCCCTCCCCCGCCCCCCTTTCCTCCCCAGCCCTGTGCCAGCCCCCGTCCCTCCACGCCAGGCTCTTACCATGGCAGGACCCAGGTCACTGCTGCTCCCTCCGCCCAGAGCCTTCTTCCCTCCGTCCCAAGTGCTCCCGTTCATCCTTTACTGTTAATTGTCAGTGTTAGCTCCATGTGGGTAGGCTCGGGCAGGGATCCCTCTTCTCCGGGCTGCAGCCCTGGGTCCTTGAACAGCGCCTGGCATGGAGCTGGGGCCTAGACAGCTGGTGAATGAATGAAGCAGAGCCCTCGAGCTCAAGGCGGTGGTAGGCGTGGCCCCCAAACCAACCCCTCAGGGCTGCCGGGTCAGCAGGTACAACCACGGATGCCCAGTCTGAGTCGCGTTCCAGATGAACGAAGGAGATTTTTAGTACAAGCGTCTCATGCAGGGTTAATTGGGCTTTCTGTAATTTACCTGGCAACCCTACCTTCCCCCATCATTGTTTAATTTTACTCATTCATGTAGTCAAAAATTCAGAAGAATGAGGGGTGTGTTGTAGACAAGTTTTCCACGCATCCCTGTCTAGAGCTGGCATGTCCCCTCTAGAGGGGACCCGTGTGGTGAGCGTGTTCCTTCCAGAGGTGTCTATGTGGGTAAGTAGACGGAAGAACTCTGCCCTCCGAGTAGCGCGCCCTCCACCCACCTCCCCACCACCAGTGCAAACCTTGTAGTGTAGCTCGGAGACCTTCCCTTCTGTGCACAGAGACCGCCGGCATCTCTTCTCGGGACCACAGCGCACACCACATGGATGCTTGGGCTCCCCTCCCGTCATGGACGGGAGGCCCATTCCCAGCTCTGGCTTCTGTGGGCCCGTGTGTGTGAGGCCCCCCAGGATGCGTGTCCAGAGGCGGCTGGAGGGGCCGTGAACCCTCCTCGGGCCCTGCTTGTGAGCAGGCGCATTTCTCCTCAGAACTGACGGACCTTCAGTTCACATTGAACTCTCAGGGACAGTGTCTGGCATCCCTGCCCTAAGGGAGAAAGTGAGAAGGTACCAGTGACCTTGAACTTGAAGAGCTGAGTGCCCTGTTGGCAGGGCTGCTGACAGTGAAGGAGGAGGCACAGAAATGTGACTGTCCCCCACCCACCTGACTTCCAGAGCAGGTCAGTCACTGCAGGGCAGCGCTCGCTCTCCGGACCCTGGGACTTTTCTCACAAGGACAGAACCCTGTGCCATTTCCTCTGGCCAGGCAGACAGGCATGGCTCAGGGGTTAAGAATGTTTCTGTCCCAGAAGGAGGCAAGGAGCTTCCAGGAAAGTTGCTGCTTGTGGCTTGACAAGCGTTTGGGTCTGTAGGTGCTTGTTCGTGTGGGTGTTTGCGGGAACCCCTGCAGCCCGGGACTCCTGGACGGCAGGAGCGTTGGTGGGGGGAGAGGACTCAAGATGGCTCCAGCTTGCCCCTGGTGGCCTTTCGCGTGGTCCCAGGCGGGTTGTTGTTCCAGGCTGGGGGAAGGTGGGCCCCTCGCTCGGGGCCTGGCCGGGCCACCGCGTCCTTGGCACGGACACAGAGGGCGTGTGGCGGATGGTGGACCTGTGCCGGGGTCTGAGGGCAGTATGAGTGGAACTGTCTGGAGCACTGCCCCGTGGGGGTGTGGGTTCAGCCCTGGGCTGGCCATCACTGCGGGCTGCCGGCCAGCACTCCCCTTCCTCCCGCTGCTGCCAGGGGACGACATGTGCCAGCCACATGAGGGTGGGCAAGGCAGGATGCCTGTGGCTTCCCTGGGCGCCATCTCCCTGGGGTACCTCCGCTGGGAGGGGCCGATGGGCTTTCACGGGCCAAGCGGGGCCTTTGGGCTTGGGACCTTAACCCACTTCTTGCCCTGGGGAGGCGGAGGTGGGGCTGAGGGGTGAGGTCCCTGAGCTGGGGCCTCTTTGGAGCCCAGCCGGGGAGCGCACTGGGCTTCCGCCAGTCCCGGAGGGGCTGCAGCCCCAGCAGTTCGCTTTGTTGTTTTCCCTTTTCTCCAGGTGGACCAGTGCTCTGGGCAGCATCCCATTTCTTGGGGAGCAGGGTGTGGGTGGGGGCCCCTTTCTGGGCTGAGAAGGGAGGGAGGGGCCAGGCTGTGTCTGTGTCTGCCCTCAGAGCCAGCAGCCGCCCCAGCCCAGCCAGCACAACCCCAAGAACAAGGGGGACGCGGCCCTGAAGATGCGGGCGTCTGTGCGAATGACGCGCTACCTGGAGTCCTGGGGGGCGGCTCGCCCCTTCGCGCACCTCAACCAACGTGAGAGCGTGAGCAGCAGTGAGACCCTTGTGTCCCACGGGCGGAGGCCCAAGGTAGGACCCTCCTCCCCAGGGAGCTTGGAGGTGGGGCCCCGGGAAAGGGCAGGGGGGCCCACGTTAAGGGGTCCTTCTGTCTGAGCCTGGCTCTCTGCATGGGCAGGATGGTTCTGGGCTCTGCCCTGCCTGCCTCCCTCTCTCCTGGGGCCCTTGGGGAAGTGAGGGCATTTGGAGAATGCTCCAGGGGGCTGGGGATGTCTCTGGCCTTCTGCTTCCCCAGACCAAGTTCAGCTTCAGTCCCGGGAGCCTGCAGCCTGGATGGTCTGTGCACCCGAGGGTGCCTGAGGTGACAGACCCAGCCCCAAGACCTGCACCAGGCCCATGTCCTCGAGAATAACCTTCGCCTCCTTTCCCTTCCAGGCTGTTCCCCTGCGGCGCCACCGGACCCCTGACAGGTTTGTGCCCTGTCCCCTGCTTTCCTGGCCAAGTCCTGCCCTAGTCACCTCCTCCAGGCAGGCTGCCCTGATCAGCCTCTGTCCTGAATGGCAGCTCCACAAGACTCAGCCTTGACTGCTTATTTCACCCTAACTTGGGTCAGAGTGTTTCTAGGATCCAGAACTTCACAGTGATTGAGTGCTTGCTGTATACTCACTCTGTGGTGGGGTCATTGGGGTTGGTGTGAGGGATACCTGGGGTTTAGTGGAAGAGACTTTGGGCCACTGCTGGGTGATGCTGTGTGATGCTGGGCCTTCACTTGCCCTCTCTGGGCCTTAGTGGGTCCAGCCTGACCCTCCTCCATCCTGCATGAGGCTCTGGGACCTCCTGCGGGCACCTGGGAACCCCACTTTGGGTGAGTCATCTCATCCACCCCTCTGCCTCTGGGCGAGTGGATGTAGGTCCCCAGGCTGATGCCGCTGTGGGTGTCTGATTTCAGAAGCACGTCCCCCAAGGGGCGCTCAGAGGATGACTCATACGATGATGAAATGTTGTCAGCCATCGAGGGGCTCAGCTCTACCAGGTGAGGCTCTTGAGACCCCCGCCTCCCTCAAGCAGGGACCATCTTCCTTGTGCCTCATGCCCAGGGGCTGTGTCCACCGTGTGGCCATCTGAGGGTGGGCCCCTGGGCTCCGCCCTAGCCCCCTCTCCCCTGAGGGTGGCCCCTGTCACCCCGCCCCGACTCCTCCGGGCTTCACCTCTTCCTGCTGTGTCTCTGCCCCACAGACCCTGCTGCTCCAAGTCTGATGACTTCTCCACCTTTGGGTCCATTTTCCTGGAGAAGGGCTTCGAACGAGAGGTGAGGACCTCATGTTTTCCCTTTTCTCCAGGTGGACCAGTGCTCTGGGCAGCATCCCATTTCTTGGGGAGCAGGGTGTGGGTGGGGGCCCCTTTCTGGGCTGAGAAGGGAGGGAGGGGCCAGGCTGTGTCTGTGTCTGCCCTCAGAGCCAGCAGCCGCCCCAGCCCAGCCAGCACAACCCCAAGAACAAGGGGGACGCGGCCCTGAAGATGCGGGCGTCTGTGCGAATGACGCGCTACCTGGAGTCCTGGGGGGCGGCTCGCCCCTTCGCGCACCTCAACCAACGCGAGAGCGTGAGCAGCAGTGAGACCCTTGTGTCCCACGGGCGGAGGCCCAAGGTAGGACCCTCCTCCCCAGGGAGCTGGGAGGTGGGGCCCCGGGAAAGGGCAGGGGGGCCCACGTTAAGGGGTCCTTCTGTCTGAGCCTGGCTCTCTGCATGGGCAGGATGGTTCTGGGCTCTACCCTGCCTGCCTCCCTCTCTCCTGGGGCCCTTGGGGAAGTGAGGGCATTTGGAGAATGCTCCAGGGGGCTGGGGATGTCTCTGGCCTTCTGCTTCCCCAGACCAAGTTCAGCTTCAGTCCCGGGAGCCTGCGGCCTGGATGGTCTGTGCACCCGAGGGTGCCTGAGGTGACAGACCCAGCCCCAAGACCTGCACCAGGCCCATGTCCTCGAGAATAACCTTCGCCTCCTTTCCCTTCCAGGCTGTTCCCCTGCGGCGCCACCGGACCCCTGACAGGTTTGTGCTCTGTCCCCTGCCCCCTGCTTTCCTGGCCAAGTCCTGCCCTAGTCACCTCCTCCAGGCAGGCTGCCCTGATCAGCCTCTGTCCTGAATGGCAGCTCCACAAGACTCAGCCTTGACTGCGGATTTCACCCTAACTTGGGTCAGAGTGTTTCTAGGATCCAGAACTTCACAGTGATTGAGTGCTTGCTGTATACTCACTCTGTGGTGGGGTCATTGGGGTTGGTGTGAGGGATACCTGGGGTTTAGTGGAAGAGACTTTGGGCCACTGCTGGGTGATGCTGTGTGATGCTGGGCCTTCACTTGCCCTCTCTGGGCCTTAGTGGGTCCAGCCTGACCCTCCTCCATCCTGCATGAGGCTCTGGGACCTCCTGCGGGCACCTGGGAACCCCACTTTGGGTGAGTCATCTCATCCACCCCTCTGCCTCTGGGCGAGTGGATGTAGGTCCCCAGGCTGATGCCGCTGTGGGTGTCTGATTCCAGAAGCACGTCCCCCAAGGGGCGCTCAGAGGATGACTCATACGATGATGAAATGTTGTCAGCCATCGAGGGGCTCAGCTCTACCAGGTGAGGCTCTTGAGACCCCCGCCTCCCTCAAGCAGGGACAATCTTCCTTGTGCCTCATGCCCAGGGGCTGTGTCCACCGTGTGGCCATCTGAGGGTGGGCCCCTGGGCTCCGCCCTAGCCCCCTCTCCCCTGAGGGTGGCCCCTGTCACCCCGCCCCGACTCCTCCGGGCTTCACCTCTTCCTGCTGTGTCTCTGCCCCACAGACCCTGCTGCTCCAAGTCTGATGACTTCTCCACCTTTGGGTCCATTTTCCTGGAGAAGGGCTTCGAACGAGAGGTGAGGACCTCACAGCAGCCCCAGGAAGGGGGGCTCCAAGGTCTGGGGATGGGGGACAGGGGCAGCCAACACCCCCGGAAGGTCTGCTCTGGGAACGTGTTGGGGAATCATCCAGCTGCCACCAGGGAGGTGTCAGGAGTTCATCCAGCCTGCTGGGGTCTCTGTTGGTCTCACCACTCTGCCTGCCATGTCCGGGAGTGGTTCGCCTACTGGGGTTTGGGAGGCTTTGCTCCCTACTTGCCAGACCTCACACAGTGGCTGACAGTGTTGACCTTTTTAGGAAAAAGCCCCAAACTTAGTATGGTTTGATGGGGACCAACTGGTCCCTGCATCTGGCTGCTGTAATACCATGCTGTGTCCTGCTAGTGACCTTTTTATATTTTTTTAAATTTGGCTGTGCCGTTCTTAGTTGTGGAATGAAGCATCTTTAGTTTTTTGTTGAGGCATGCGAGATCTTTAGTTGTGGCATGTGAGATCTAATTCCCTGATCAAGGATTGAACCCTGGTCCCTGCATTGGAAAACAGAGTCTTAGCCACTGGACCACCAGGGAAGTCCCCATTCACTTATCTATTGAGGGCCTATGGGTTCTAGCAGCATCCAAGGCCCACACATGGTCATTCCACCCTCACCTGCTGGCTGAGGTGGGTGCTAATACCCTTTTCACGACTCTGAGGTTTGGAGCATCTTGGCCTCAGGTGTGGCCTGAGAGGGCGGCCCAGCCCGTAGCACCCTGGTGCTGGGACCTCTCTGCCATTTTAGCCTCCAGGGTCTCGTGGGGTCTCCCTGCGCCGGGAGCTTGGGGCCTGAAGGCAGGTGCGGTCACCAGGAGAGCCGTCTGGTGGCCTCTTGCTGCTGCAAGACCCAGACGGGCTGCCTGCTCCCTGAGCCTCAGTTTGCTAACCTTCTGCAGGAGCCCCGCGGGCAGAGATCTGCCTGGTGTGGAGGGGCGGGCCGCATGGGCCCCCCACCCAAGGGCTCAGGGCTCAGGCCTGGTTGTGCTTCTCAGTTTGGAGTGAGAACAGACCCACCGGTAGTCCCTGTCATAGCAACCCCGGAGCTCACTTGGGCTATGGGATTTTCAGGGACCTGGGAAATAAAGTCAGAGACCTGAGCTGGGTAGGGGAAGGGAAGGGATTGCCTCTGAACATTAAAGAGAATCTGCAAAACGGAAACAAATGAGAATGGTTTGTTCACAATGATGTAACAGCAGCATGGTGAAGTCAAGGAGGTGGTGTAAGGGTGTTTTTTTTTTAAAAGATGATTAACTGGAGCCAGGGTGGAGCTGGGAAGGGGTCAGGGCAAGTGGCTCTGTGGGTGGGGCTTCGGCTGCCCGACCGCCCCTCACAGTCTCTGTCGCCCGCAGTACCGCCTGGCGCCCATCCCCCGGGTCCGCTACTACTTCGCTTGTGCCAGCCTCGTCTTCGTCTGCATCCTGCTCGTCCACGTCTTGCTGTTGTCCAGGTCAGTCGGGGGCCGGGCCGGATGGCCAGGCCCACCAGGGTCAGGCGAGGAGGGCTGGGGACCCTGCAGATCCCATTAGAACACCTGTGAGAAGGGGCTGGCCGTGAGTAGCTTGAGGCACTTTAGACCTCCGAGGTGCAGAAACCAGCCTGGGTGCAGTGGTCCCCATACCTGGAGCTGCCAACGTTCAGTTTTTAGTTTTTTAAAAAAAATTATTTATTTTAATTGGAGGCTAATTACTTTACAATATTGTGGTGGTTTTTGCCATACACTGACATGAATCAGCCACGGCAGTTTTTCGTTTTAATTGAAGGCGCTTGCTCTCTCAAGCCGCAGGCCTCCCCGCTCCCACATGCCTCCCTCCTCCACAGTCCCCGGTTATCTGTGTGGCCCTGCAGGCATTTCAGTTGCCCTAGGTGTTTGGAGTTGTAGAAGGGCCACGTCCTGAAATTGTAACTGCCACCGTCTGCCTCTTAGGTGTGGGAAATTGAGGCTCTGGGATGGAGGGTGGGGCTCTGTTGATGGGAGCAGGGGCCTGGACGGGGGGCTGAGGTCACAGGGGGAGAGTCAGGTCCACTTCTTGGCGGCCTCTGGAAGGGTGCTCAGGCCAAAGGCTCCACTAGGACTGTGGCTCAGGATGTGCTTAAGAAAGATGAAATAAGGAGCACGTTTGGGTGTGCTTATGTGCTTGCTGGCCAGGAGTGTAAAGGCTGTGTAACCACTTATTCCTTGTGTACTGGGCCCAGAAATGGGGGCGCGTTTGATCCTGGACTTGTGTGTTGTTTGTGGGGCAGCCAGACCTCGGTGTGCAGAGTCCCCCTTTGGCTGGGGTGCTGGGGGTGGGGAACATGCCCTGGGCAGAGGGTCCCCTCAAACTTAGGTTTTTCCTTCTCCAGGACGAAGACTCTGGCCGTGTCCTTTGGGCTGGTGGCCTGCATGCTGGGGCTGGTGCTCGTCTTGTGCTTCGCCGATGAGTTCTTGGTGAGCGGGTGGGCAGCCCCTGACGGAGCGCCGGCAGGGCCCAGCAGGTGTCAGGGCGGTGGTGGGATAAACCCCGGCCCTAAGCCCTGGCCCCTCCCCACGAGCTCTGCACCCCAGCCTGGAGGACAGTGCTGAGTGCCTTGAAGGCTCCTCCCAGGATTCTCTTTCCTAGGCGCTAGTGGTCCCCACGAGGCCATGGCTGTCCCAGCCCCAAGGGTGGGGATGTCCCTTCCTTTGGCTCACCACGTGTTCCGAGCTCCAGGCTAGACAGAGACACAGCACCCCTGATACCCGGCTCGGAACTCTCGAAGCGCTCACTCTGCGCTTGGGCTGTGGGCCCCCTCCCCGGCCTGGCCCGGCCCCTCTGGGTGCTGTGGGTGCTCTTTGATGACACTGTGATTCCACAGAGGTGCTGCCCGGCCCGGGGGATGCTGCGAGCCATCGCTGAGAGCGTGGAGACACAGCCCCTGCTTCGGGTGTCCCTGGCCATCCTGACCATCGGCAGCCTGCTGGTCATCGCCGTCATCAACCTGGTGGGTGCCAGGGCCAGGGCTGGTGGGCCTGGCCAGCACCCCTCGGGCTGAGCACACTTCTGGGGAGGAGGGAGCCAGTCTTCGACCCTGGGAACCTCTAGGCTCTAGAATCTCATAATCCTGTTGCCTAAAAGCAGCATCCGGTGTGGCCACATCCACAGCCTGGTGGGCCGGGCCTGTGGCAGCCCCCGTGGCGCCTCCGAGCTCCTCAGCCTGCACTGGTCACACGAGGACTCGGGGCCCCCAGAGCGCTCACCTGGCCACTGCGGTGTCCTTGACATCCCAGTCTTTCTCCAGCTCCCGAGGAGGTCCTGACTCAGCCTCTCGGAGACCCCAGTCTCCTCACTGGGGTCAAGCTGCCCTGGGCATGCGCTGGGGGGCACGCAGGCCCCCCTTGGTGGGTTGGCTCACATGCTTCGTGCTCAGATGGCACTCGTCCTGGCCGGTCCTGCCTGTCCCCACATCTAGAGTCGGCATCTCCCCCGGCGACCTCCGTGTCCCCTGCACTTGGGACTCTGTGACCGCCTCCCTCAGCATCACACGGGGAGAAGGGGACTCACTGAAAACGTCACTCCCAGCTTCTCCCCGAGTCAGCCCCCGGGGGCTCTGGAGCAGGATCCACGTGCCTTGCTTTGACTCCCGTCCCCTGCAGTGGAGCTGCGGCTGCGGTGGGAGGTCGGGATGCCGTGCCCCTGGGCTGGGCTTAGAGCCGCGCCTGGCAGGAGATGCTCACTGTGCCCGCGGAGCCCTGGGCCCTGCCCTCTGCCCCCAGCCCTGCGTGGCCCGAGCAGACCCTGGGTTGCCCCCAGACCACCTCTCACAGGGCCTTCATCTTGTCCGTAGCCGCTGATGACCTGCCCGGACCGGGGGCTGTTTGTCGGGAACGAGACAGGCCTGAGTGCTGTGAGCAGCTGGCCGAGGACCCCGTGCTGGCTCCTCCCGGTGAGAGTGCCCCTCCGGGTGTCCCGAGCCCTCACTCGGATTTTCCCTGCATGCTTAGAGCGTGCTGAGCTCCGGAGCCCGTGGGCTCTCCCAGGAGAGGCGGGAGGGCAGGCAGGGCAGGGGGTCCAGGCGCTGGCGGTGGTACTCCACCGTGCCCGCCATGATCTCTCTTCGTGGACGGGGACGTGGCGTGGGGAGGGTGACGGGTTTGCCTCAGAGGCGGAGGAGCCAGGGCCGGGCCCAGGCGGGCTGACGCCAGAGGCCATGCCTGGCGTGCCCTCCTGGACAGAGTGAGGGCGGTGGGACTTGAGGGGGGCGGTGGGGGACTCAAGCTGGTCTCTGAAGGGCAGAGGTCATGGGTCGGCAGGGAGATAGGAGGTGGGACAGAGGGGAAAAGCTGAGGTAGGTGTTGGGCACAGTAGGTTTCAGGGGGTTGTGTCACAGGGGGGAGGGGGGGAGGGCTGGGAGATGAAGCCCGAGGTAGGCTAGATCCAGCTCTGGGCAGAGCACAAGGGCCAGGGTGAGCAGCTCCGTCTTTGTGCTGGGGGCACTGGGGCGCCACAGCATGATCTTGAGCAGGAGACTGATGTGGGCGGAGAGGCACTTCGGGGGGGGACCAGCTCATGGCAGAACTCAAGACCTTGTCACGGCCACGTGGCACCGGCATTTTCATTGACTACATTTTTTTCCTTTTAAATGAGTTCATTGGCTGTAAGTGGAAGTAAACTTATGCTAAAAACAACATATTATAGAAAGTTTTAGGTTCCATTGCCTGCTCCTTTTTAAGGGAGGCAGGAGAGTGATGCTAAAGACACGCTGGTTCTTCATGGATTCCCCTGTGGCTAAAGGTGTCCCTCCCTTTGGCGACCTTTGGTCCGGGGGGTGCCTCTTGGTGACGGGAGGCGGGGTGACCGACATCCCTGTCTCCCCAGTGTTACACCTGCAGCTGCATCCTGGCCTTCATCGCCTGCTCTGTCTTCCTGCGGATGAGCCTGGAGCTGAAGGTCGTGCTGCTGACTGTGGCCTTGGTGACCTACCTGGTCCTCTTCAACGTCTCCCCGAGCTGGCAGTGGGACTGCTGTGACCACAGCCTGGGCAACCTCACCGGGACCAACGGCACCCTCAGGTGAGGCCCCGTCCCTCACTCAGGACCCCCGCCCACTGCCCGTCCTGACTGTGGCCCGCTGCAGCGCCCTTTGCTTTGTCTCCGTGATTTCACACGGGGGCTTTTGCATCCATAGTCCCCCGTGGACCGGAGAGCTTGTGGGCTGGCCTGGCAGGGGAGGCGATGGCCCTGGGTCTGCGGTGCTCAGGACTGAATGTGACTCATCGGCAGGGGGTCCCCAGAGGCCAGCGGGTCATCCTGTCTCTAGGCCAGTCTGGGGTGGGAGGTGGAGGCTGCAGCCCTTAGCCCAGTGTCTGGCTCTGAGCCGTGTCCTGGGTCAGAGTTCGGCAGAGAGCGGCCGTCCCTGGTCTGTTCCCAGACACACGGGAGGGGCTGCTGTGTGCCTGCTTCTGGGGCTGGGGGCTCAGGGGGGTCGTGGAGAGAGACCCGGCTGCCTGAACTAAAAGGCAGAAAGTGGGGGACCCAGAACAAGGTCTGCTCCTATGGGCCTGGCTGGCACCTGCGACTCCTTCCGCAAGCCCCACTCACCTTGAGGAGCGTGGGCTGCCTTTGGCTGCCTCCCACCCACCTACAGTGCTCTCCTTGACTTTGCCATGGCCTTGCCTGTGACCAGGTATCAGCTCTGATGTCACCTCCCTGTCAGCCTCCCTTGTCCCTCCCTCTTTCCTTTACAACCTGGAGCACCTTGTTCGCCAGCCATGACACATGGGCTCTGAGAGCAGCACCCTTCCATCTCGCTCACTTTCCCAGGGGCTAGCCCTGGGTCTGGGCCGCACTTGTGGGGGCTTCCGGGGGAAGTGGAGATGACATCTGCCTTTCTTCCTCGTGTCCAGCGGCTCCTCCTCCTGTTTGTGGCATCTGAAGACGATGATCAATTTCTACCTGGTCTTGTTCTACACCACCCTCATCATGCTCTCCAGACAGGTGCAGCCCGGGAGGCCCCTCTGCTTGGAGAGAGGCTGCGGGTGGGGTGGGGGCGGCCTCGGACTTGGAGCCGCGCACAAGATGCAGTCTTTTCATGGCGTCCTGCTCCCGGGGTCACGGGTCCTAAGTGTCCTTACTTTTCATCAGGACTCGAGTGACATTTAATCATGTGGGTCACTTGAGGATTGTAAGTCTTGGCTGAAGGGGGTTTCAAGACCACCGCCGGGTGGCTCTTGAGTCGGAGACCTCAGCCAGGGGCACAGGGTAGCTCCGTAGCCCCGGGGTTACGAGTGTGCTCTGCCCTCTGCCCTCGCTCACTGCGGCCAGGACATGGATGTCCCCCTGTCCACAGATTGACTATTACTGCCGCCTGGACTGTCTGTGGAAGAAGAAGTTCAAGAAGGAACATGAGGAGTTTGAAACCATGGAGAACGTGAACCGCCTTCTTCTAGAGAATGTCCTGCCCGCGCACGTGGCCGCCCACTTCATCGGTGACAAGTTAAACGAGGTGGGGACAAGAAGGGACTAGTCACTCGGGCAGGGAGCCCCGAGGCACAGGTGTGGTTCCTGGAGGGAGGGTGCTTTCGCAGTTGGTCTCCATGGCACTTGGCCTCACCAATGCTCCCAGGAGACTGTGTGTGGCATTAGCTGTAAGAAAACAGCCTTCAGAGTCAAGACCTGCGTTCAGGTCTCACTACCCTGGGCCTTGATTTTCACATCTATCAAGTGGGACTGATAGTACTTGGCCGGCAGAATTGTTGCAAGGAACACATGCCCAGGTATTTGTGATCTGGACCATCTGCTGATGAAAACACACATTTCTACCAGTTCTGTGCAGCAGAGGTTCCTATCTATCTATGGGAACTCAGGCCCAGCGAGCAGAGAACCCAGGCCTCCTGACTGTTACCATCTATACCTGGGAGTCTCAACCCCAGCTGTGCAGACCCAGGGGACCGAAAGGAGCCCCAAACCAACCTAAGTCCCACCCTCCTCAACAAACTGATTTAGAGCCTCCTGTTCCGTAATGGTCCCTAGTTGAGTCTCACGGTAGCCAGGTGGAGAACCGCTGCTCAGCCCCTCCTGTCCCCCCTCCCGTCCCCCAACACCTGCTCCTGGAGTGTGAGGTGGAATTGCCGCCCTGCCCGCAGGAGGCCGGGTGTCCATGGGGTCCTGTGTCTCCCCCTCCCCCGACCCAGGACTGGTACCATCAGTCCTACGACTGCGTCTGTGTCATGTTTGCGTCGGTGCCGGACTTCAAAGTGTTCTACACAGAGTGCGACGTCAACAAGGAAGGGCTGGAGTGCCTGCGCCTGCTCAACGAGATCATCGCTGACTTCGACGAGGTAAGGCCTCCCCGGAGCCTGGAGAGGGCGGGGCGGGGCCCTGGGCACCCCGGGCCCCGCTAACACTGGGCTGCGGCTCCCTTGGGGGGAACACACGTCTCACAAATTATGAAAGGTACACACACATTTGCCTTTTTTGTCTCTTCAGCGGGTAATGTGTTATCTTCTCTGATTGGCAGCTTGCTTAGATTTAGGTTGTAGAACTATTTGATTTCTTGCTTAGCCTGTGCTGGCAGTCTGTTTCAGAGTTAGTCACTCAGTTTGGGCTTAAGTCTTAGCTGCAAATAATCCGCATGCCTCTGTAGACTGTTGAGTGGGGCGTTTGCATCTTAGGAGGAATGAGACCGGGCTTCCCTGGCGGCTCAGACAGTAAAGAATCTGCCTGCGATGCAGGGGACCTGGGTTCAATCCCTGGGTTGGGAAGGTCCCTTGGAGGAGGGCATAGCAACCCACTCCAGTATTCTTGCCTGGAGAATCCCCAGGGACAGAGGAGCCTGGTGGGCCCAGTCTGTGGGGTGGCAAAGAGTCAGACACGACTGAGCGATGGAGCACACGGGAATGAGACCAGATGAGAATGGAAAAGACAAGGAGTGTCAGGGAACAAAGGGGCGGGAGAGGACAGGGGCTGCCCCCACCTGTAGGGAGTGTGAGCTCAGAGGGCGAAGGCCAGCGGGAGAAACGTCTGCGTTAGCAGTGGTGGTGGGAGAGGACCCTGCCCCCTTCTCAGTACCGGGGACAGGCCCAGGCTGCAGCACTCTTGCATGGCCCTGCTTCCCTCCGTCCTGCAGCTGCTGTTAAAGCCCAAGTTCAGTGGTGTGGAGAAGATCAAGACCATCGGCAGCACGTACATGGCCGCTGCAGGGCTCAGCATCCCCTCGGGGCCTGAGAACCAGGTACTCAGCCAATCTGCCAGTCTCACACTGCAGCCCCAAACGAGGGAAAAGTGAGCACAGTCCCAGACCGACTCATACTTGAAGGGGCACCTCTCCACACTCCCTCCTTTGAGGCAGGGGCAGAGGAGCTCATGGCTCAGCCTGAGAGAGGATTTGGTGGTGGGGTCAGGACAGGGGGCTCCTTGCCAGGAGGGGAGTTTAAGTGGGCACGCGGGTCCTGGACGCCCTGTGGAGGAGGCTCGGTCGGTACAGCTCTGCCCAGCAGTGGTCCCCTGTGGCTGGCACGCTCAGGCTGGCACACAGTGCTCCCCGGGTCGGGGTGCTCTGGAGGTGGGAAGATGGGGTGACACTGCCCGCGGCCCCGTGTGCAGTGCTCTGTCCCACAGGACCTGGAGCGGCAGCACGCCCACATCGGCATCATGGTGGAGTTCAGCACTGCCCTGATGAGCAAGCTGGACGGCATCAATCGGCACTCCTTCAACTCCTTTCGCCTCCGAGTCGGTGAGGCCCCGGGAAGGCAGGCTGGGCCCTGGCTCAGGGCGGGTCTGTGCAGCCCTGCCTCCTGGCAGCCCCACTCTCAGTCGGGTGTATGTTGCCATCTGTTAGGAAAAACTTTAGAAATCCCTCTCTGATCTTACAACCCAGTGATTGGGCAATTATTCTTTCCTTGTGTACTACTTTCCTTTGAAGGTTTTAAGTAAACAGGGATATATATTACCATGGGGAATCCCCGGGTGTAAACAGGTGACCTTGAATATCCCGAAAACAAAGCAAAATTATTAACCTAAGTAGTCACCAATAGCTAATACAATCAGTGCTCAAAGCCCATTTACTGTTTAAGAGATGATTAGCAGATACAGATACAGTAAAGCATCTGCCTGCAATGCAGGAGACCCGGGTTCGATCCCTGGGTAGGGAAGATCCCTTGGAAAAGGAAATGGCAACCCACTCTAGTAGTCTTGCCTGGAGAATCCCATGGACAGAGGAGCCTGGCGGGCCACAGTCCATGGGGGCACAAAGAGTTGAACATGACTGAGTAACACACAGCAGATATAGGAAGTGTTAACACTGGACTCAGGCTCCACATCCAGTCAAGTCTGAAAAGGAACTGCCCGGGGAGCCCTCCCCTCACATCCTAAGTACCATCTCCTGTCCCAGACACAGGAAGCACCATCCCTACCTTCATTTCAGTGCTTTTGGCAACGCTTTCTGTGGTAGCTGGGTGGATTCTGTAGCCATATAAGCTGGAGGCTCTGTCTCTATGATCTGCCAACTGCAAATATCTTTAGGCATAAACCATGGGCCTGTGATTGCTGGAGTGATCGGGGCACGAAAACCTCAGTACGATATCTGGGGAAACACGGTCAATGTTGCCAGTCGAATGGAGAGCACTGGAGAACTTGGAAAAATCCAGGTAAATGCTCACTGGCGAGACCTGTGCCCAGGGGAGGAAGGGAGCCGGGGGTGTCAGCTGGGCTGTGAAACGGCCAGGGGGTCCTAGCCGCCACATTCTGGAGGGAGACCTGGCCCTGTCGGCCAGTCTCTCTCCGTCCTTGTCTCAGCAGGCCTGCCTCCTCTGAGGACTTCAGCTTCTTTCCTTTTCAGGTTACTGAAGAGACGTGTACCATCCTCCAGGGACTAGGGTATTCCTGTGAGTGCCGCGGGCTGATCAACGTCAAAGGCAAAGGTGAACTGAGGACTTACTTTGTCTGTACGGATACTGCCAAGTTCCAAGGGCTGGGGCTGAACTGAGGGCTTTTGGTAGGTGCCAAACATGCCGGAAACCCATCTCCTTCCCTGAAGCAAGCCAGGAGGAAGGCCCAGCCCCATGCCAGGCACAAAGGCAGTCCGAGGGATTGGTCACCACCACCTGGGCAGGTGGCTCCCTGGATGTGCACTAGAGGACCTGTCAGCTTGGGGCGATCACCCGGCCTCACACACAGGCAGCCAGAACCTCTGTGCTGTCCGAGTCTGCGGTGCAGCCTTCAGCCCAGCAGGGAACAGCTCATCTGTGGGCTGTGCACTCATCCCGCAGGTGCTGTGGACGAGACCTTGGAGCATGACCTGGAGACCTCCCGCCCCGGGGCCTGTGAGCTGCACGTGGGGAACGTGTCTTTTCTTGTCCAGGATGGGTGGGAACTCCTTTCTCCCCAGTACACCAGCTACAAGAGTGCACACTTCTCATATAGGCATTCTGGTAAATGGAGTTAAAAGACTGTTTTATATCTACAAATGGGTTCAAACAATAGGGAGAAAGCCCCACAGTGGACACTTCTTACTTCTTATCCTCTTTGGCATGTGTCTGTTTAAAAATGGAGACATTATTAATGGAGGTGTCACCCTCTAAATGGCTCCTGAGACGATACATTCTCTTCCCTCCAGTATAGGCTTTCTTGGTAACCACGGCACGCAAGTGGGACCACTGTCCCGTGTGAGCTCATGGGATCAGCTCAGCCGTGGGCTGGAGCTCCAAGGAACATGGCTCACCGCAGGAAGGCAACGAGTGGCATAGCCTTGGCTTGAATCAGACAACTTTGAAGCCAAAACTGAGATTAGGTTTAATGAGTGAAAAGCCTAGAAAATAAGGCATCAGCTCTCAGCCCTTCCTTGACTCCTCATGCATTTTCGAGCGCCCCCTGCAACCTTGCAGTCTGTCTTAGCTTTATACTGGAAAGGAGTGGAGTCTATGTGAGTGAACCTGACAGGCTGTAGTCCTCCCCTTCAGTCCTCACAGCTAGCTCTGAAGAGGACCTACTCAGCGTCAGCATGTGCAGAGGCTCCCGGATCTGGGAAGCCAGGCCTCTCACAAACAAGTGCTTGGATGTTCTGAGCTGACTGATTCCATGCAAGTGAAAAAGCCAGGTTTGTGAGGTGTGGTGTCTTATGGCACATCAGCTCCAAAAGAATCGAAAGACGTCAACCTGTGTTTCACCATGAGGAGAGAACAAACTGCCCATTCCCTTTTCTGAACCGACTTCACTGTGTCATTACCAGAGTATCTCCAGGGCTTCTAATACGTCTGGACTCCACCGTATGGCAGGAATGCTAGCCAGAAGTCATCCATGAACTCCCCTGAAATTATACAGAAAATTCTGCATACGTGAGGCTTCAAAAGATGACACGACCTTGCAGACAGGTGACTAAGCAGCCAAGTTTGCCTGGGACGGGGGCTGTGGAGTGAGACAGCACCCCAGGCACGGCAGGGAGGGGATTGGAGCCGCACCTGCTGCTGGCCAGTGCTGCGTCCTGGGGCCTGGGTGGGCTGGTGGCAGCTCTGACGCATCACATGAAACTGGAACAAGTAGGAATAAATCACAAGGACTTGCTGTCCTAATCCTTTAGGACATTTTCATGGTGAAAATGCTGGTAAGGGAAATAAACCTTACTTAAGTTGCCTTTTTCACACACCAATTCTTCATCTAAGTACTATGCTGAAATCTATACCCTTAAAATCAGGAGTGACTGGGCTTTCCTGGGAAATCATGAAGGTTCTGTCACTAATCCAGTGTAGACACACATCAGTATGCTGGGCCTCTCTGAGGTGGATAGGCTTCTACTCTTGCAATATACAAATTACTTTTTTCCTACAGCAAAGAAATCCCAATTGGGAGTTTAAAATATAATTAGTTACCATTTATGTATTTTTCTTTCACTGTGCTCAGATAATAAGTTTTGAATTTTTGACATTCAGATCATAGTGTACAACTGACCATAAAGATCACTTAGTTATTTTTTATAAATTCGTTTTCCAATTACCAAGTCATTTGTTCACAGGTGTCACTTTGCTTTATGACAAGACAAGTGTCTTTCCTAACACTGACCTTCTCTGTGGGTCAGGGACATGCTATGCTTCATATCTCAGTACTAAGGTGGCCTCACTGATGCTAGTAATGTTTTCTGGTTTCCTTAAGAAAATTTCCTAACAGAAAAGATCATTAACCACTGTATACATTGTGTATATGTATAGAAATATGCGTTGAGAAAGTACATGAAAGAACTAGGCGTTATTCTATATACTGAATATTTATAGATCTGTAACATTTGTTTCAAAATGTTATATTTCATTTTTATATAGTACCAGTGTTTCTCTTTTCTTTAGCTTTTCATAGATTAAATCGGCAATATGGAAAACCTGACTGTCCTGGAGTGTTTCAAATTTATGTGTTTTCTTGGTCTTTGGGAACTACTTGGCTAAATAGGTCGAAAGTTTTAAGAGTTGGTTGCTGCCTGAATTGTCTTTGAGAGACAAACTCTAAAAAGACTTGATAAATACATATTTGAAAGGATTCTTTAATTCTTCTGGCATATGCTTTCAAGTATGTTTTTGAAAGATTAGGTCATCTTAACTCTCTTGAGAGATTCAATTTTCCTTCACCCTACTTGTTAAACGTTAGTTTTCAAAGTCAAGAAAATAATAAAATAGCTTCCAGCCTGGGTGTTTTACAGAAGGGCTCCATACAGTCTGAGTAGGGTCTTAAACCTAATTTGTTCCCTGAACTAGGTCACAGTCTAATGCCTGGTCACAGAAGAGGACCACGTAGCATTTCCTACTTGAATAATTAAACTGCTCAGGAACTTAACCTTTGCCTTTCACATAAAAGTACGTGAGTATCGTTTAGGGGACATGGCAGAGGCACAGGAACCTGCTGAGAAACAGTAAAAAGAAACATCAACTTTCCTTTAAGCTTGGTGATTTCCTTCACATATTCATGGACAATTTAGTTTGTATCCTATTTGGCTTGTCCTTTTATTATACTGGGAAAACCTCTCTACAAATGGCAAAAATAAACCAAAAAGGAACACCAGACAAGTTAGTGCTATGAAACTCCTGACATGGTTTTTATTTTGTTTTGCTTTTGTGGTGGGAAGCCCTGGTCCTTCCACATAGGGACATCGTCCCCAACAGGTAAACGGGGGACATGCTAGTAAATTCTAAAGCTGAATTTGTTTTCATGGTATAACAATGGGAATCTCACTGGATGGAAATTTTAAAGAAGAGTTTCTCAGTCATGGTCCTGCCCGTGAAACATAAGGAAGCAGCACTATCACTCTCTGCAAGAACTTTTGCCTAGGTCTACTCCCATCCACTTTCTGCTCGGTATTCCAACCGGTCCAAATCATTCCTTCCTCACAAGGCCACTTTTTGAATAAATCCTCGAAGTGAAATCTGCTAAGTCAGGAACCATTTGGTTATAATTTTCTTAATGAGAAGTAAGGCAAATATGGGAAAATGAGGGATTTCAATGATTTGGGCAACTTTTTAATGGATGGTCAGGAAAAAGGCTGTTTTATTCTCCAAGCTTTTCTCTATCACTTCATCCTCAGATTCAGCCCCAGGGAAAGGTGAAGGGGTAACTCAGCTGATATGTACAATACAGCTCATAGTCCAGGTTTAGCTTTATTACCTAATAGAAGTTCAATCTCTGGAACATTAAAATTAACTGTTCCAAAGTTTAATTAAAAACACAATTTACAAATATTTAATATCTTCTGAAAAGCATTTCCAAGTTAATGAAAAAAATATATACATAATATATAATCAAATACCAGATAGTTTCAAATCCCATCAGGTTCACACTCAGTAACATCGGTGTTTTTAGGTTCCTCAAAATCTGAAAGAAAAAAAAAAACACTATTTAGCACCTTTTCTCCTTTTAATTAAAAAGGGGATGTGACAGTAAAAAAAGTAACTGTTGACAGCCCTTCTTCACTATGTTCAAGGTTAAAGACTAGGTAGGTGTATCACTATAGTTTTTTTTTTTTTTTTCCGCAAATGTGTGAGGTCTTTATTCCTTAGACAAGATGGAAAGAAAACTTGACTAGTTCACACGTTAGCATCAGAGACGACGCCTCTCAGATGTTCCTGGAGGGAGAGGCCTGATGTTGCCGAGCCCTCCATGCTCCCAGAGACACAGGCACCTACCTTCTGTTAGATCGACAAGGTGGTTCTCAATGCCCGGGGAGGGGACGGAAATTCCCATCGCCTTTCGGAGTCCGTATGTGCTTACAATATCGCCTGGAGTTACTTGCTGTGCAAGTTCTTTAAGGTTACTGGTCACTTGTTCAGCTAGGGGTAAAAAAAACAACAACACAGAGTTCAAGGTACTGAAATGTGATTCCTTTAGATAACTTTAAAAAAAAATGAACTGTCCATGGTGTTCCCTTCAGTGTTACTTGATAGTGGTACCACTACTCAGAAATGCTCCCGTTAAGCAGCTTGCTTCTCCAACCAGGGGCTTCCCTGGTAGCTTAGGTGGTAAAGAACCAGCCTGCAATGCAGGAGCGCCCGGTTCCATTCCTGGGTTGGGAAGATCCCCTGGAGAAGGGAGAGACTACTCACTCCAGTATTCCTGGGCTGCCCTGGTGGCTCAGATTCTAAGAGGCACCACATACCGAGATGCATTTCTCTGTATGATGGACCCAAGAGACAGATCATGTTGGGAGGGGGTCTGGTGCTCAGACGCTCATTCTGGGCTTCCTGGAGCTCTCTGAGCAGTTTGGTGGTCTCATCAAGTTTCCTCTGGAACACTTCAGCTTCTGTGGGAAAAATAACTTATTAAGGACAACATGGACATACTTGTACCTGATCCTGTGCAATAAACTGAGGACTATGTTCTGGGGTTTTGCCATTTATTGGTCAGCTGTCTCTCCTCAAAGGAGTAACCCCCCCTAAGTGAAATCACCACCACAGGCACACTTTACTGTTCACTGAGCTTGGCCAGTCACCATGTTCCCGCAGTGAATGGCTATGCTTGCCTGTGCTGCTCTGATGTTGTATCTTAGCTGCCTATGTCAGGAAGTGTTTCCTCCAAATCCTCTGGAGACACTCACCTTCAGAGTCGAACACTTCGACTGGGGCTCCGAAGTGTGTTACTGCTTTCAGTGCTGTGAGCTTGTCTTGATTACTGGAGTCTAAACGCCCTGTGAGTTCAACTTCTGTAACCTGCTTTAAAAAAAAATTATCTGAGCTTGCTGAGCCCTGACAGTGCTAGAATGAGAAGTCAGTAAGACGGCTTGTGTTTACAAGCCAAGTTATTTCACTTATTTAGAGTTAGAATTCTGATGCCATAAAAACCTTTAAAATGCCGTTCCTAAATCCTGGCGGAAGTGTCCGTAGGTTCACACTTCTCGGTAATGGAATGGTGTGTTTTAAAGGCTGTGTTATCTGTTTCATCACTACTCTAAGGATGAAAGCCTTGTCACTGCACTTGCGGTGACTGTGACGGTACTGTGGGTTCTGAGGTTCACAGGCAATGTTTCAGTCCATACACTGGCACTCCCTTATGGCAGAACTTGAACATAAGATACTTCCTGGGTTCTCTTCTGGGCCTCAAAGTCAGGTTGTTAGTATTGCATGGGAGAAACAAAATCCTAAAATGGGTAGTTTTATTTTTGGAATCTCAAGACTCAGAATTTCCATAACCGCAACACTGGTTTTTAGAAAATGATCAACCGTGACAGTTGAGTAACCCAAAGTTAATGGTTCCATTTATACTCTAGTATTGCACTCTGAGCTCAGACACGAGGGCTAAGTGTGGTGGAGAAAACCTTACAACTCGACTTAATACACTTCTCACCCAGCTTTCCTTCCCATTCTCCAGCTTTCCTTCATTCTTACCTGTTCACATACATGACCTTGCCTGGCTCATCTTTCTTGGAAAGTGACATGAATTTTTAAGTACCATCTACATTTGCATCTATCTTTACTTGGTCTTCCATCTTCAAGTTTTCTTTCCTGTCAAAAGGCTTACAACTCTCTATCTAAGTCATGTAACTTGTGGCATCTTTATCTTGTCCCCATCATTGTACTGAAATTACTCTGATTAAGGTTACAAATGATACCTGTCCTAGAGGGCTTCTGTATGGCATCTGACACTGCTGGACTCTTTCCTGCATTGACTCTTCCATGCTTTTCCTACCTTAACTATTGGTCTTTCCAAGGTTCTTTGGCCTTTTCCTGTCTATGTGTTCTGCCTGGACAACCTCATTCACTTAATACCTACAACAATTCCACTTTGACACTAGTGACCTCTAGATCAGCACACCTCCAGTGATGTCCCAAACCACACTCACCAGCCCTGAAACCAGATGATACTTCCTTCCTGCTGAAGGTGTGCTCCTTTTCCTGTCCCTCTGACAGAGCTAACAATGCTAGTATCTACCTTGTGCATCAGGCCCTATCAATTTTAGTTCTACTGTATTTTTCTTTATTGTACATCTTCATTCTCTTCCATTACATTGTTATCTAAGCAAAAAACAACTAGCTTAAGTCCCACAGCTTTTCGCTGGTCCACTCCCTCCAGCACCCCCTTCTCCTACACACCTAATCAGCAGTCTTTGAGGAGAAAATCTCAGCTTCCTAGCACTGCATATACAGCTTGTCATCTGATCCTCCTCTCTCTGGTACCCTGTGGTCACTCACTTCTTGGGTGCCCTCTTGCCCTGCCTGCTCAGATTATGTCGTTAATCTGAGTTAATGACATAACTACCCACTTCATACACCTGGCCCTGTGCTGAGGACCCTGTTCATCTTTCTAGACCCAGTTCATCTGGAAGCCTCTCTGTGAGGACCTCACCAACTGTCCAAAGCAGCCAGCCCCCCCAGCCTGCGCTCCCACAACATGTGCACTTATGCTTTACAGTAACTGGCTTTGGCTCCCTTGTTTACATGCTTGTCTAATGCACTTACTGCTGCTCCCTTCTCCACAGGCAAAAAAAGTTCTTTGATTTCAGGAGATACTCAATAAATATTTTGCTTTTAAAATAAAAGCTTTATCATTTAGGCTTTTTCGCTTCTTTGCCACTTAAATATTTCTTGTAAAGAAATGAAATATATTCACCTCCATTTCTTTTGCTGTGTCAAGTATCCTAGTCTGGCCTTCATCTTCAGGAGATGACTATAAGGATAAAGAAACACACTTTTATTAAAGAAAACATCAGGTGGCTAAAATCTCTGACAAACAGAAGACAGGAGAACTCCTGGTGTATTCTGCATGAAAAGAGGCAACATTCTCAAACAGCATCAGATGTGTATAAAATATTCAAATGCTACAGAGAAGGTGAAAACTTTCCATAACCCTAGTCTTCAGAGATAATGCGTACATAAACAACACATGTATCACGTGCAAAAATCAATGATGATCTGTTACCTTCTCCTGAAAGGTTATACTTGGATTTATTGAACCGATTTCTAGTTTTAAAAAATTATAAAAACTGTATTCCTTACATATAACTCCTATCTTATTTTCTAGTATAAATTCTGAGAAAAGAAACTGCTAGATCAAAGGGCAGAGAAATTTTAAATTTGAAATATACTGCTGTATCAACCAAATGAAAGATAAGCGATTTTAGTTCAAGACCTTTAATTAATTCAGGTTAACTGATGCGAAGTATACAGTAAAAATATTTCTGAACTGATGTAAAGCTGAATGTTTTTTTAGGTGATGTAAAGAAAGCAGTTTTGCGCTAAGATACAAGACTGTATAGCAGTTCTCACTGGACTTCAGGCACTGACTCAGCTGTGCTGACAGGTCACCCAAGGACCAGCAGCCAGAGGTACAGTGAAGGCAGAGAACACAGCGAACTGCAGTCCCAGCCGCCAGGAAGAGTCAGAACCCCCAGCAGATACGGGGCTCCTCTATCTATGTTTCTGGAGATCAGCTCTCCTCTCCCCTGAACGGACATTTTCTGGTTCTCATCTTTGAGTCAAGTCTCTGAATTACCCCGGATTATGAACTATGTCCAACTGAACTGGAGCTAATTTACAAGTGTTAACAAAAGACAGCAATGAGGAAGCTTTTTACTTTTTTACTTGAGGCTCCACCACTGTATTATCACTACATAATAAGGAAAAGGACATTCCCTATCATTTTAGTCAACTCAGTGTCAAGCCGGTGAGCCAGACTTCCTTTTTTTGTTCGGGTATATAACAAGAGCTGATTTCTGGGTTGTAACCCCCATTTTTGATTTCTACATTTCCAAGATGAGGAGATAATGACAATCATCTGGCCCTCACAGATCCTGGTAGCCGAGTTACTTGTTTCCGTTCATTGTCCTCCACCCATGGGCTCCACCCTGGCTGGGCTGTCTTTTCAGTGGAATGGAGTTCAGCTGCCACACTGGTTAATCCCATGGTTTCATAACACTGATGACTAACACTTGAGGACCAATGATAAATCACCCTATTACTTTAGCAGCATTCTTACCGTCTCGGACTCCTGCAGGGTTCTAGAATGTCCTCCTTTTGTTAAAACATCCAGTAAACTATCTGCCATAACATATGGATAATCTTGGCATGTGGCCAAAAACTCATGGATGCTGAAAAACAGTGTTGGGAAAGTCACTTTCATATAAATGATCTCCACTGGTGTTTCCTTCCTGTTACAGCCAACTATTTAATTAGATGCCTTTAACTTACGCCCATGATGTGAAACTTTCCATCAAGACAGAACACAATTATATTTACATATTTACCAGTGATAGATTTATCATCATGAGAGAACTAAGCAATATCAAGAACATCATGAAAAGGAAATGCTCCTGGGGAAAAGTTCAAAGAAAAATAAGATCTCAGTGATGGAGGGGACGAGGGCTCAGTCAGTGGAATTCTTTGCTTCTCTCTTTCACTACTTCCCTAAGGTGATCGTATTTGCCTCAGGGCTCTTGTATGTACTAGTGAAAGTGAAAGTGCTCAGTCCTGTCCGACTCTTTGCGACCCCACAGACTATACTGTCCATGGAATACTCTAGGCCAGAATACTGGAGTGGGTAGCCTTTCCCTTCTCCAGGGGATCTTCCCAACCCAGGGATCAAACCCAGGTCTCCCACATTGAAGGCGGATTCTTCACCAGCTGAGCCACAAGGGAAGCCCCTTGTATGTACTAAAACACTCTCAAAGTTCCACCTCCAGATTGGACCACAATCTTTGGCAACTCCATTTGGAGGTCAAATAGCCTCATAATGTCCAAAATTGAACTGCTGGATCTTCCTCCCGAAGTAGTCTTTCTAAAATCTTCCCTCTTAGTAACAGCAATGTCATCTTCTAGGCTTCATCTAAAACCCTGGAATTCTCCATGACTTTGCTCTCTCACACCCCACTACAGTGACTCAAGAAATCCTACTTAGGCTGACTCCTGATCCCATCTCGGCACCTCAGCCTCCACCCCTTCAGTTCAGTTCTCATCTGGATTATGACAGCAGATCCCCTGTGTCTTCCCTCGTCCCCTATAATCTGTTTCCCATACAGCAGCCATAATGATCTTTTAAAAATTATAAGCCAGACTTGGTCACTCTGCTCAAAAGCCACCAGTATCTTCCCATCTCACTTAGAATAAAACTCCAAGTTCTTACAAAGATCTATGCCCACCTGCTATTTCCCCTGCACTCTTTCTGCCCTCTACTGCTCTTTAAATGTTTCAGGCAGGTTCCCACCTCAGGGCCTTTGCCCAGCTGTTCCACTGGCTGGAATGCTCTTTCAGACAGCAGCAGTGTTTCCTTCTTTACTACCTTCAGTTTTTGCTCAGTGTTCATTCAGCAAAGTCTTTCTTGACTATTTGAAACAGCACTCCTCTCCCAACCCTAGCACTCCCTATATTCCTTTTCTTCAAAACACATGTTACCACCTGACATCAGGCATGAGTCTGTGTCAGTACTGTTTCCCTGCAGAATCCCCAGTATATAGAAGAACGCCTGGAAAATACGGTACCCCAGCAATACCTGTATGTGGAATGCATGGATGAATGATCGAGAAAGGATTTATTTAAGCTGGTGAGAGGAGGTCTAAAGGATACAAATGGCTTGATCTAAAAACACAGTCATTGACTTGTAAAAACAGTACCACCACTACCAACCACACATATGTAAAAGTGAACAAGTCCCTCTTTCCAGAAAACCAGAAGACTGGTTAATCTACTGGGTTAAAGTCTTACACATAATGAAAGTTTACAAGATTCCACCGCCAAGAAGCAATAAGCCAAGCTCAGCCCAACCCAAGCCAGAATGCCAGTAAATCAGGACGGTATCTCATTATGCTGATGGCATGCAAAGTACCCAGTATCCTAAACAAGAACACAAAACATGTGATAAGGGCTGGTGGAGTCTAACTGCCAGAGTCTACTGGGACCTGACAGGTCAAACAGGCTTGGATGGGGGTCGGCTTTGGACCAAACCAGGTCTTATCTCCTATCTTGGGGAAAATGTTTGGTGGCTTTGACTTTGATTTGATCCCCCATAGCGATCAAATCTGGAACAACTCACTGATGCAGAAACATGTTACAATGAAGCAGGTGGCACACCAACATTCTGAAGCAACAAGCTCCTGAATTTTAGTAAGCAGAAATACAAGACATCTTTAAAAACATCTTTTTGTAAGAATTAAAATATGGCAGATGCCAACACCAGAAAATACTAGGGAGACACATGGTTTCTTTAAAATATTTACTTTCCATTAAAGAATGAGGATAACTAGGGGTCTGTTTAATTGTCAATTAAAAAAATTCCTGAACACATTTCCCACCATTTGAATAACTCTGTAGGTTATGTGTATCAGTGTTTTAGGACAGTGCAGCTCTCAGAGCACCAGTGAACAGATGACTCACCTGAAATCATTGGGGAGATCAGGGTCTTCCCCATAGGTTGAATAGATCAAATCAGAATCGTCCTTGCTGATATTTGCAAACGTGGAGTCATAATGTGGTGCGTAAGAACTGTAGGGTCCATAACTCAAGTATAACACTGTTGATGAAAACACACATAGAACCACAATACTCTTCTTTAACTTGGATGTCAATCTATTTTTCTAATTATTAAAGATTATTCCCTTCTAACTGTGCTACTTCACTGACTGGCAAACAAATCCAAGGTAAATTATTTTCTCCAAAATATATACTTATAAGTCACAACTCAAGTGAATCTTTTCTTACAATGGGGAGGGGAAAAACAAGAAAGCAAACTCATTTTGAATATTAATACTGATTTTTCAATTTCTTTAAAATATCTAATTAATGTTGCAAAAATACCATAAATAAAGTTAAAGTAATGGTGATTATGCTTCTTTTCCTCAACTCCTTGAAAATGAGAAGAGGAAAAACCACACTACCACATGGGAGCCTTACCTGGAGTCACTTTGTTTCTTTTATCTTCTTTGAATCCCTGCAAAGTATTCACTCCAGACTGAAGTCTTCCAGTTGTCATCCCCAGTCTCACAGGACAATAGCCTGGTTCTAAAACGTAAGAGTGAGCATGGTGGAGACGGCTCATGTGGCAGTGACCCCATGGTGCTCTGCGGAGTTTCTGTGCACACACTGCTTCAGGACACCCACCTCACTCCGAGCAGCCCTTACTATATCCATCTTTTTTTTTTTTTTTTTTGCCATTTTTAACATTCTTATTGAATTTGTTACAATATTGCTTCTGTTTTATGATTTTGTTTTTTGGTCAAGAGGCAGGTGGGGTCTTAGCTCATGTGGCAGTGACCCCATGGTGCTCTGCGGAGTTTCTGTGCACACACTGCTTCAGGACACCCACCTCACTCCGAGCAGCCCTTACTATATCCATCTTTTTTTTTTTTTTTTTTGCCATTTTTAACAAAAAAAATCTGAGTTCAGAAAGGCAGGAATGTAGCCAGGATCCAAATCTGGTCCTTTTCATCATACTCTGCAGCATCCTGGAATTCTTTATAATCATGTTGCACTTCACTTTAAAAAACATATTTAAAAGTCCGACCTTTCAATGTGAAGATGATGGAAGTAAACTAGTAGAAAAGGTCAAGTAACAGAAGCGGAAATCCCTGATTAAAGACAAGAACTCGTAATACATTCAGGATAAATTAATCTCTACAAGAGGCAGACTTGTACTGCAGGGAGGAATAGCCTTTACAGACGAAAAGCCCGTACACCAGGCATGAAGCCCTGTAATGATGCTGGAGGTCTGTGATGTAAGCGAAAGAACAGAGAGGGGTGGTGTCAGGAGAGAACGTGGTCTCTAACAAAATCCAACAGAAAAGATTTACTCCTGAAGAAAAGCGCTGGTTTTTCTAACAGGCCCACCCTGGAACAGAGTCGACTGCCACATGTGATCAGCGTGACAAAGCAGAAGCACTTGTGAGAAACTCCAAACCTCTAAATAAGATCTTCCTTCCTTGGTAAGCATCTGGTATCTTAATTGGTACTAGTACCTCCAACCAGGAGGATGAAGCTGAGACGCGAACAGGGGCATCTTCCACCTTAAACCAGTAAACTGGCCTCCTGGGAGAGCAGCTGTTGAGTGTGAGGATCAAGTCAGTGTTGGCTGCAACTGATAATGTCTACAATAGTTGGGAACCCAGAAAACCAGACCAAGAGCAGAGACTAGAACCCCAGGTACAAAGAAAGGGGCAGATCTTTGTGCCTTTAAGAAAAGTTTCACCTAAATCAACTTAGCTGCATCTCTTATCACCAAATTTTCATCACTGATACATCAGAAAGAGCAATGTTCTCAATCCTGTGGCATTTTCTATGATCCAAGACCCTAAAAAATTCTACTATGAAAAGTTCACTTAAAATTAAAAAATGGGGCCAGAGCGAAAAGAGCGAGTTGTGGGTAGTGGTGGCAGCAGTGGCGGTGTGCGGCGGTGGGGTCATGTGGCCACAGCCACAGCGGGGGCGGCTCCTCCAGCCTGAGCAAGGCCCGGTCTATGGCCTGTACCTCTGCACCAACCTGGAATGGCGGCAGGGCCTCATAGTATTTAAAAAAAAAAAAAAATATATATATATATACATATAAAGTAAAAGAGTTTTATTTTGAAATCATAGCGCCAGTTCTTTTTCTAAGTCAAGGAGCCTATCAATGTTCTGCTTCAGCATTTCAAGAGTGTACTGTAATGTTAAAAGAAAACACTGACAGGCTGGCATCAAGCTCTTCTCTGCTTCAAGGTTTTTTTTTAACCTGTTATTCCCCAATCCCTTACTCACCACCTTGGGATCACCCTAAACCTCTCTTAAGGAAGCCGTCTTTGACCCCCAGACACTGTTACTCCTCTGCGGCTCTGTTCCCCTGCTGCACTGATTCCTGGTGGACAGGCTGCCATCTCTTCACTTGATTCTTTGTGTGTTTTTCTTTCCCCACCCCACAGAATGTAAGAGGAAAGGACCTATCTGCTCCTGTTTCGTTCCCTTTTACACCTAGCTCCACCTCCAGCTCCTAAGACAGTGCCTTCCTCATTGCAAGTAATAAATATTAGAAGCTATTTCCTTTGTCATTATTCATTTCTGTATCCCCAATTATCTCCCTCCTAATGGTAGTAGGAAGAGTTATTTATAGAATAAACATTCTCATGCTTATCACAACATGATTCCCTCAAAGATAAATGATACATATTTCCCATTCTTACATCAAATTTCAAAATATTCCCTATTCTATTTCCATTAAAATATCATTTGAAAAAATAAAAGTATGACTGATGTTCTAAAACAGTGATTCCTAACCTTTACAATCTTTCTAACAACCACAGTGAAAGATATAGTGTCATTTACTATATATTATTCCACTACCATTAAGGTACTAGTATAGTACATGGCACATATAATCATTTTATTCCCTAAAATCTTAAAAAGTCTTAAATTTTATTATGTCATAGTCTGAAGGTTTTGAGATATTGCCTGAGTCTTTTTGAGGTATCTCAAAAAGTGCCCGTCTCTTAAAACCAGGGCTAGAAATGACCGCCTAATATTTTGGGTTTGTTAATGGGTTGGCATGACAATCCAGGAACTTAGATATGTTTTAAGTCTTTTTTCACGTGGACCACATTTTTAAGTCTCTATTGAATTTGTATAACACTGCTTCTGTTTTACGTTTTGGTTTTCTGGCTGCGAGGCATGTGTGATCTTAGCTTCCCGACCACGGACTGAACCCGCACCCCCTGCACTGGAAAGCAAAGGCTTAACCATTGGACTGCCAGGGACGTCCTAGGCACTTTATATTTTAAAGAAAACTTGATTTTGTAGCACTTATTTTGGGATGAAATAAAGTTAGGCTAGCTGTTAGTATGAAGTACAGGATACCTAGCCAAATACTTTATGGATGATGATAGTTGGATTTATCAATATTTAGACTAGCTCCTCTAAAGTTAAACAAGCTTCTCTAAAATGCTAACCAAGTTGCCACATTAGCATCAAGTTCATGCACAGTCTAATTCTGTGAACCTACCTCCGACAACAGGATCCACAGGATGGAGAAGTCCCAATGTTGTTGTTCCATCTGGCTTTCTCCTTTCAAATTCACACTGCAAAGACCCAAAGTATTCAAATGGCATAAACAGTTTTATATACGATACATATGTATGTTGCTCACCAGAAAACCTCACCTTAGTTTAATCAAACTAATATTAGAGGTGGCTATCATCATACTCATATCAACTTTCACATATGTACACAGGTGCTGATGGGTTAAAGAAATAAAGGTTAGAAAAATCTCAGAATTTTAAAAGAACCGTGTGGGTGCTCAAGTTCTGTTTAAACTATTTTAAAAAAGTATACTGAAAACCAGGGAAGAGAAGTGACGTACCTAAAGCCATGGATTAATTCATTCGGTTTTAGAACTGAGGTGCTAAACAACATGATTTCAAAAGACCGTGTATGTTTTCTTATAATCTTAAAAGTATGTGGTTCATTTTCCAACATTTGAACACATTAATGTCCCTTAAAAAAAACCCCAAACCCTTCTAGTCAGTAACAGAGGATAGTATGAATTATGTACTTTAAAAACAAGTATATTACTACTTTTTCTTCTGTGAGCGCTGTCCTGAAGAGCTCTATGGCAGATATGGATTAAAAGTACACAAGCAACTTAAAAAACTAAAAGTTTCAGACAACCTGAATCAGTAGGTAATGAAAAGAAAGGAAAAGCTCCATCACCTGACTATTAACAAGCCTCCTGGTCAGCTTCCCTCCAGATTCCTTAACGATGCGGTCAATCTGCTCCTGCTCTCTTTCTAAACTATTGCTTTTAAATTTATCTTCAAGCACATCTTTGTCTTTCCTGAAAGCACACATTAATACTAAGTAAAAAAAAAAGAAGAGGATAAGATGAAAACATTAAAATGTAATTCCAAATATGAATACAACCAAAGTGGAGAAATTTGTGCTACTGACACCAATTAAAACTTTGTTTCCTAATGACCTGGTAAGGGGCCCCAATAACACACAAACACTAAGGCAAGCCAAGTAGTTGGTCAGTTTCCTCCCTGTGTCCAGTATTATTTGTTTTAAACATTTTTCTTAGTATATTCATAAAAACGAACCCTACCTCAAATATATTTTAAAAGCGGAGGGGTGCACAATTTGTTTTACAATTTGGTACACTTAAGTCCAACTTATAAAACTTAAAATAAACATGTACTACAATGTATAAACCTTAGAAATATAAGAAAAACCTGTCACAAGTTCACTTCATGTTGTAACAGCAGAAGTCCCAACCTGCTAACTAACCCCCTCTCCCAGAGCTGACAGTGAGGCGCTGGGCGCCAGGATAGGTAGGCAGCAGCTGAGCGGGATGGACATGTACGCAACTGAATAGGGCCACATCAGCTGATGGCTGGTAGGACAGGCGGTTCACACTGCTGCTACCAGCCGACGTTGAGTGGAAAACATGCATACATCTCAGTGACAGCCCATCTGTTCAGAAAGCAGCTTTAACTGTGCTTAGGCTTAAGTACGGGCTTGACTCCTTTGTGGAATGAGGTAATGAATATACAACTTTTTTCTTAAACAAATAGCTCCATTAATATAAACTCACTGACAGCATGAGTCCCTTGAGACTATTTACTGGTTTTAAAACGACTTCCCTACAGAATAGACATTCAGAACTATTTTCTGGATTGTGTTTAGACATTACAAACTATGCTTCATATGAGAAAAGGGGTGTCAAATCATCAAAATGGACTCTGACAAAACCCAACCAATCACGGACCCAAGGAAGGCCCCTGAATTGTATTTTCTCCCATTACTGGCGTGGAAGACAGCTTAACTTTAATATTTCAAAGATTCTTTACTTTTTATTCTCCTTATTGGGGCTCTTGAAGCCCTGTGCCTCAGCGTCTCCAGTGTCGTCCCTCTCTCTTGGCCAGGAGCCGCTGTCCTCCCCACTCTGCGAGGTGTCTGTCCTGTCTCTCTGCTTCCGACTTTTCTGCAAGTCTGCCATGAAGTCTATGCTCTGCTTCAGGCTCTGAATTCTCTCCTAAAAATATTCAGCAATATTCTTATTGTATATTTGTCATTCATTTGTAAAGTAACATATTTTCCCTCATAAGAGTTTACACTTATCCTGTTATTAATTAGGGAAGAAAAACAGTTAAATGTAACCCTACCAACAGAGCAGAATAGTTAGGAACCAGGACAATAAAGTCTATTCCTTCAATTCAGATAATTTCCAAAATCAGAGAATGCTTTGCAACTTTACTGCATCATCAAAAAGATCACAGGAGAGAATGTGAATAAAGACTAAGTATTCTTAGCAGTAGTAAATTTAAAGTTTAGTTTAATAGTGTGTTAAAACTTCATATTTAATAGAACAGTTCATCTTCTGAAATTTAAGAATTATTAGATATTTAAAACGAGCATGTGAATATGGGAAGATCTCTTACATTTTGGTATCCTGGGATGATCACTGAGGACTGGCATTTTTCTGTATGAAAACACGCCTCAACGAGAAAAGGCTGCTAGCATAGTCTCTTTTTAAGAATGCATAATGTTCTACCAAAGAAGTATTGCTTCTATTCTGTGAAACATGTGCTGAATTTTCCACTGCATCCCTTATGGGCCTGTGGTTTCTGGACAAATGTTAAAGAGGCAGACTTGTTCCCAGTGACTACTCTGCCTTTTAATTCTGTGTTGTCAATGGACAAAATATGGAGTGTAGTCTCCTTAGGGATACATAGCAACAGCAGGGAAGACTTCTACAGAATAACAGAAACTAGAACTGAAAAGGACCAGAGGTCATTCAGATAAGAACAATGTAGCCCAGAAATGCGAAATGACCCGACTAAGGTCTCAGAACCACGGACTAAGAGCAGGCTTCTTGGATCTCATGATGGGGCCTTTTCTCATCATACTCTGCTGTCTTAGCAGTGCAGATTGTGACAGCCTCAGGAAATGGGCCCTGCTAATTTTACTGCACTATAATTTTTAATTATATTAAAATATATATGATATATAAAATACATATATAACATAAATACACATATTTTATATATATATATATATATATAGAGAGAGAGAGAGAGAGAGAGAGGGCTTCCCTCATAGCTCAGTCAGTGAAGAAGCTGCCTGCAGTGCAGGAGACCTGGGTTTGATTCCTGGGTCAGGAAGATCCTCTGGAGAAGAAAATGGCAACCCGCTCCAGTATTCTTGCCTGGAGAATCCCATAGACAGAGGAGCCTGGCAGGTTACAGTCCATGGGGTTGCAAGAGTCGGTCACAACTTAGCGAAACTGAGTTTTAAAAACAGGTCTTATTTTAATATGTACTTAAAAATATTAGTTTGATTATTTCTATATGCATTTAGCGGCCATTTGTGTTTCCTCTGCTGTATGTCACTTAAGTCATTTACTTCTAATTTACTTCTAATTTACTTCTAATACCTGAAACAGAGGCTGGCATATAGAAGGTACTCAGTAAGTGTTGGTTAACTGAATGGGTTGGATCACAAAGTTCTCAGTAACCTTTTAACTTCCATTCTAGAATTTTATAAAGCAGAACCTACATTAGGAATATTTTCCAAACTTAAAAAAGAAAAAACAGTGCATCAAGTTAAAATAATTCAATTAAAGGAATTTTCTAAATTTCAACGCAAGTCATGGAAAAAAGCTGAGTTTAATTAATTTTACTTTAAAAGCTGAATGTTGAAGCTGAAACTCCAATCAATACTCTGGCTACCTGATGCGAAGAGCTGACTCATTTGAAAAGACCCTGATGCTGGCAAAGATTGAGGGCAGGAGAAGAGTACGACAGAGAATGAGATGGTTGGATGGCATCACTGACTCAATGGACACGGTTTTGGGTGAACTCTAGGAGTTGGTGATGGACAGGGAGGCCTGACATGCTGTGGTTCATGAGATCGCAAAGAGTCGGACATGACTGAGCGACTGAACTGAACTTTAAAAGTAATGTCTTTCTTTTTTGTAACCAAAATGTCTCCAAATCAGTATACTGTTTATCAATTCTCCATTTTACAAATGACTAAAGGGTTGATTCTTTGCCATTTATTATTAATGGCTAACACCTATTGTCTTATACCTATACCTATAGGTTTGATTCCTGGGTTGGGAAAATCCCCTGGAGAAGGGGATAACAGTATACCTATAACCTAAAGGTATAGGTATCGAACCTCTATCTACTGAGTTCTCACTCATGAGGTATAATTCTGTGAGTTAAGTACTACTGTTATGCCATTTTGTATGATGGGAAAATGGCTGAGAAAGGTTACATGGCCTGCCTAAGGTCCCACAGTGTTTCAATAGCACAGCCAGGACTTGAACTTCGATTAGTCTGATCCAAGGTGACTATATATATAATACAGCATTTAGTATTTATTTAGGAGATCAAAACAGTTAATCTTCATATGTCTACTCTTTATAAAAATAACACATCTACTAATAGTCACTATCTTTGTATAACTAAAAAATGATGAATGACTGCTCTACAACTTTTACACTGAATTAAAAACCAGTTATTTTTGAAAAGACACCATTCATGGAAGGGTGTGCTGGGCTCTCTTGGGAGATGTGCTATTAAAAGAGTAACTCAGAAGGTCTAAATTTAAACATTTAAAAATCACTGTTGTAAGAATATCTCCCATCTAGGGCGGAGAGAACAGTCAACAGGAAGCTATAACACAGGATGGGTAGGGCTCCTCAACAGGAAGAGATATGAAAGAAAGGAAGACAAGAGAGAGAGAAAGGGGAAAGTGGAGAAGTTTTTTTGTGCTTCCAGCCACGCCACCCCCAATAAAATGCAAGAGCTTCTGGAATCATTTGCATCTTGTATCAACTACATTATTTAAAGATGAGAAAACAGGGGTAAATCAAAGTTGAAAAATTTACTTGGATATATTGTTTGCAAATCAAACTTTATTCTAAAAATTAAATGTGCATATTCTGGAGTAAACATTGCATTTGTTGGGTGCACCTTTACTTCAAATACAAAAATAAGTATTTGCAGGTTAAAAAAATTGGAATATGGCTTGGTCTTGGATTCTGAGTATTTCTGCAAAGGATGGGATAAACACTTAATATTCCTCTTTCCTCTGCATATTTTGCCAAAGATGGGTAACTGGCTTACATTACAGCTTCCCAAGTCTTTAGGAAAGAGTGGAAATTGATGTTGTCTAAATATTAGGAGTGCAAGAATGATCATCAATCCAAATGTTTTTCTTTCCTCAGTTAAGAATCTTTCAGAGCCAAGCACACAGACACCAAGACATCAGGACCCCAAGGCAATTCTTTAAACGTTTAAAACTGATACAGATGATCACCACAAAAGCTGGAAAACCACAGGCACCTATCCTCCAACTTCCTACTATCCTCCAACTTCCCTCAATTTCAGCCTGAGCTCTTGATTCTGATTTCTTTCTCTTCCTCATACCCATTTCTTTTTTTGCAAAATCATTCTATCTTGTTCTTCTTGGTATCCTCCCTACTCTAGCTCTTATCTAAAATCAGAATATTAATGCTAGCAATTATCTTGGAGACCTCAGATTAAACCTTCTTCTCTACAGATAAGAACAGAGGCCCAAGGTCCACAAGTTAGTGGAAAAGAGATAAAACTAGAAGCCAGTTTTCTGACTTCCTGCCAAGATAAGATCTGTCTCACTTAATTTTCCATCTATTCACAGCTGTTTAGTAAAACGTCATAAGACATGATTTATCTGGTGAGTTCTCCTCTTCCAGTAGATGCATGTACTTCAATTTCATCAACCACCGCTCTGCAATGAGACTCCTGTCACTCTTTGCCACTATCTACGGCATCTTTGTTTTGAATAAGTTATTGTGTAAGCTTCCTTATGAAGCTTGATGATGATAATGATGCGTCCTCTGCATACATTTCTCCCACCTCACACACCTTACTATGTATCGGTTCTTGTTCTTCAAGGGAGAATCTGCTCCTGTGGGGAGGTGGCTTTCAGACAATTCCGAGTGATTGCTCATTTGTCTACTTCCTTTCTTTCTACCTGAAGGAGATTCTGTGCTTCACCAGAACATTCGCTTCCACCCCTGCAAAGGGAAATAGGGCGCTTTCCTTCCAAAAGATTTCGAAAACTCATGTAATCTATCCTGTCCTGGAATTCAAGATGATGTCTGTTTCAGTCAATATAAGTCTATCTGGTGAATACCAACTCAACAGCTTCCAAATAAATAATTACAAGTGAAGGCCAATATTTATTTGGATCAATTCCAAATGAGAATCTTCCTGTTGTAATTTTCTTCTCTATGTTAAAATTTTTTTTCATTTAATATTTCCTACTTTAATATAACCTTTCTATAAAATAAAACCTGAACTGTACTGGATCTGTATCACTATAACCAAAATCAAAGGAATATAAATTTTATAATAATTATTATTTATGACAAAGAATTTCCTTTACCTGGCTAAGAATTTTCATCCCTGAGTGCAACAGCTTTTTCGCAGCTTTATAATAAATCGTCTCTGGTTTGTTGTAAATCATAGCGTTAGTGCACATTAGTCTGAAGTTATCCTGGAGAGAAAACATCAGGGAGGAATGCATTAGGACAAAACAAAGCGCCCTCCTGTGCTGGCCTGAAGTCACCCAGGTCCTCAAAAATTCAAAGCAACCACCATCAAACAAACAAAAACAGACCAATAAAAAAACACTGTCTTCCCTTTTGTTTACTACACAGCATTAACAGGAATTTATTAAGTTTTAAAACTAACAAAACTGCTAAATTAATTTAAACATCCTACTACATTCCTTTATAAATTCTTAAACATTCTACAGTAACTGCATAGACTTTAGATTCTGAGATAAAATTTTAAAATGGGTTTCTTCAGTATAATCTTATTGCACACAAAGAGAATTAGAGAATACTTCTATCTTACATTTAATAATTACTGAGTATTTAATTTAAAAAATCCTTAGTTTAAAAACAAACAACTATCCATTAATGAATTAAATATTTTATTTTGGATCTTGACTGAAAACTGGGACAATGCTAAATTATCATCACAATATTTCCTACCATAGTCAAATTAACCGAGCAAAAGTGGCAAAACATTTACACTAATTTTCTTTCAAGTGTTTGGATACTATTATAAGCTAAATATAATTTGCAGAATGTTACAAAATCATGCCAACCTGAAATAAACCATACAACTTCAAAGACTTACAACATGTAACCAGAGTAGGCAGACTATCAAAATTGTACTTTTGGTTTAAATTTCAAAGTATGCACATGTGCTAGGGAATTCAATTCCACTGCATATTTTCATGGTTAAGTAATTTTTACATTGTATAAATGTGAGAGTGATTATGCCAAGGCCTTACTAAATAAAAATGATAAAAACTCAACAAAAAAGAATCTGGTTCTCAATCTCCTCTGAATTTAAAACATTTAAGCCCCACTATTTAATAACTAGTGATGACAGCTCAGAACATTTAATGTAATGAAAATACGTAGATTGAATATTATTTAAAAGTACATGAGAAGACTGAGTCAAGTGTCACAATAAATTTGGTATTAAATTTAACACAGATGAAGTATATGTGGATGCTCAGTTCTTGGCCAAATCTCTATAATCAGTTAGGATTTTGTTAAGTCATCATCTCTAGGAATCTGAGGAAAGCTATGGATCCACTCCTCAAGCACACACATGTAATATAAAAGTGAACACAAAATTTTCCTGTAATTTTATAAAATTCCTGATCTCTCTAAAGGCTCATCCAAGGCTACCCAAAGGACCCCATGTTCAGAACCTTTACTATAGATATTCTGAAAAGCTTCCATTAAAATTATTAAATATATATTTGGGGAAGGAGAGGCAAATGAGGGGAGACAAACTAGATGACTACTACACTAAATGACCACTGGTCCTATAACTAGAAAAAGTACTGGATCATCCTACAGATCACAGGTCTGATCTGTTACTTCATGAATCTTTTAAAAAATTATTTATTTATTTAATAACATTTTTTGGCTTGCTGGGTCTTTGTTGCTGCGTGGGCTTTTCTCTAGGTGCAGTGAGCAGGGGCTACTCTCTAGTGGTGATGCATGGACTTCTTAGTGCTGTGGCTTCCCCCTACAGAGCACAGGCTCAACAGTTGTGGTGCACCGGCTTAGCTGATCTACGCCATGTGGGATCTTCTCAGATCAGGGATTGAACCTGCATCTCCTGTCCGATCCCTGGGTTGGGAAGATCCTCTGGAGAAGGGAAAGGCTACCCACTCCAGTATTCTGGCCTGGAGAATTGCATGGACTATAAGTCCATGGAGTCGCAAAGAGTCAGACAGGACTGTGTGACTTTCACTTTCACTCCTCCACTGGCGGGCAGGTTCTTTACCACTGAGGCTCCAGGGAAGCCCTATTATTCCATGAATCTTAACTGTCCTGTGCTAGACTTTACTGGATTTTTCTGTAATGGCAATTGTTTGTTCATAAAGTTGAATGACCTTTCTGCATAATTCCAAGTATTAAAAAAAAAAAAAACCAAAACCCTCGAACAGCTTAATGAGTTGGATAAGCTAATTAAACATTACATGGAGCTATTGAATTTTCCTGAGGAAAAAATACAGCTCTACAGAAAACTCCAAGTTAAAAATACTTGTTCACTTTAATTATGATAAATCTTGACCATTTGCTCAGAAACACTTAGTGGGCATACTTGTACTCTCTCTTGTCATTGTAAGGGAAAGATCAAAGGAAAACTACTCACAGAAAGGGAAAAAAACTGAAAAATTTTCCATTAATCAATAAGATCAGAAATATGCTGAAATAAACAGTTTTAGCTTAATTTTCACCAGATGAAAAGTTGAGAAAAATTTTCGTTTCTCTGAATACAAGAGTATATAATTCAGGTTTTTCAGAGTAAAATATACATTCAAACTGATAGGAAAGACAGAACTAAATGCTAGTATCATTCATAAAATTCAGCTAATCAATATGTATAAAAAAAAAAGAGACCAAGTAAAGATAACATTTACTGTCTTATTTTCCTTCTATAAATGATTAGGGTCTAGCCCTTCGGTCAAGTGAGAACACTACAATGTTATTCAGGAAAAAAACAAAGGTAGTAAAGTAATGCTTAAAATTCTCCAAGCCAGGCTGCAGAATACGTGAACCGTGAACTTCCAGATGTTCAAGTTGGATTTATAAAAGGCAGAGGAACCAGAGATCAAATTGCCAACATCCGCTGGATCACTGAAAAAGCAAGAGAGTTCCAGAAAAACATCTATTTCTGCTTTATTGACTATGACAAAGCCTCTGACTGTGTGGATCACAATAAACTGTGGAAAATTCTGAAAGAGATGGGAATACTAGACAACCTGACCTGCCTCTTGAGAAACCTGTATGCAGGTCAGGCAGCAACAGTTAGAACTGGACATGGAACAACAGACTGGTTCCAAATTGGAAAAGGAGTACGTCAAGGCTGTATTTGTCACCCTGCTTACTTAACTTATATGCAGAGTACATCATGAGAAACGCTGGGCTGGAAAAAGCACAAGCTGGAATCAGGATTGCCGGGAGAAATATCAGTAACCTCAGATATGCAGATAACACCACCCTTATGGCAGAAGGTGAAGAAGAACTAAAGAGCCTCTTGATGAAAGTGAAAAAGGAGAGTGAAAAAGTTGACTTAAAGCTCAAAATTCAGAAAACTACGATCATGGCATCTGGTCCCATCACATCATGGCAAACAGATGGGGAAACAGTGGAAACAGTGGCTGACTTTATTTTTATGGGCTCCAAAATCACTGCAGATGGTGACTGCAACCATGAAATTGAAAGACGCTTACTCCCTGGAAGGAAAGTTATGATCAACCTAGACAGCATATTGAAAAGCAGAGACATTACTTTGCCAGCAAAGGTCCGTCTAGTCAAGGCTATGGTTTTTCCAGTGGTCATGTATGGATGTGAGAGTTGGACTGTGAAGAAAGCTGAGTGCCAAAGAATTGATGCTTTTGAACTGTGGTGCTGGAGAAGACTCTTGAGAGTCCCTTGGACTGCAAGGAGATCCAACCAGTCCATCCTAAAAGAGATCAGTCCTGGGTGTTCATTGGAAAGACTGACGTTGAAGCTGAAACTCCAATACTTTGGCCACCTGATGCGAAGAGCTGACTCACTGGAAAAGACCCTGATGCTAGGAAAGATTGAGGGCAGGAGGAGAAGGGGACGACAGAGGATGAGATGGTTGGATGGCATCACCGACTCAATGACATGGGTTTGGGTGAACTCCAGAAGTTGGTGATGGACGGGGAGGCCTGGCGTGCTGCAGTTCATGGGGCTGCAAAGAGTTGGACACAACTGAGCGACTGAACTGAACTGAACTGAGAGTAGACACTGTTTAAACCACTTGAATTTGTGGTGGTTTGGTACAGAGCAGATTAAAAAAGAAAACACACGGCTCCTTTTCTTAGGATGATTAAAATGAAAAGCTTAACTCTGAAACCAGCATATACACCAAGGCTATTCAAAGATAGAAGGACGTCAACTATAACATTAGGCATATGATTCATCTTCGTGGCTTGTAGGTTCTTTATTTGTAATTTTAAATTTTTTTATTGCTGAATGTTGAAGAAAATATGCTAAAAAAATACAGCCAAAGTGAGTTCAGGGAGCAACTCACTTTCACCAAGCTAGAAAACGTAATTAAACTTCTGCTTGGTATTTCTAGACAAGCCAATTTATTCTCTATTTTACATGTCTAGAAACAGAAAAAGAAACTACTCTAAGTGAACTTCCATTAAAACACTGACTTTATTCAATATTTTGTAAAAATCTATAGAAAAAAATACATAGCCAAATCACTTTGTGATACACCCGAAACCAGTAAAACTTTATAAATCAACTATACTTCAATTAAAAAACAATCAATTTTACCTGTATTCATCTGAAATTTAAAATAAAACATTTTCGTTTTAAAGGTTGAGGAAATATTTCATAGAACACATGAATTTCAAAATTTTACCAAAACCCACAAAATACTAAGGACAGCAGATGACTTATTTTGTCTGGTTTTCTATCACCAAGCTCAAACATGTTTTCTAAGACAAAAAAAAAATACAGATTTTGGACATTAAAATAAACTTGAGAATGATTCTGAATACCAGACATGCAGATTTCTACACAGACTTCCCATACACAGGATCCAAAAGTTTGCCTCTCAATTGAACAGAAACGTTACTCTGTAGCATAGCTCAGTCTATTCTCCAATACAACATAAATCATAAGTTACCTTCAGTTCTTCTATGGACTGGTAATCATTGTTCTTGATCTTTTCTTTCATGGTACTAAAATCCATTGGGTGTTTAATGATCATGGAGTAGCCAGGGGCAATAAAATCAGTCACAGGAAATGAAAAGAAAGCACTTGGGTCTTTTCTGTGAAGACAGGAAAAAAGCAATTTTATTTCTACTACAAACAAAACTACTGGTCAAGGAGTATTAAGTCAGAGGAAATCCTTCAGATGTAGAATTTGTAGCAGGCTAATATGTTTTTCACTAAAAACTGAAGTAATGATTTTAAAGACTAATAACTATTTAATAAGGTTCAGATGCTTAACATATAAATTGTACCCTTAAGACAGAATCTTTTAAAATATGCAGCTTAATTAATTCACAACATCTCCAACACAGGGAAAGATGAAACAAAATAAGAAATCTAGACTAACTAAAAAATGTCTTGTACTCTGGGAGATTAATACTATGTATTTTTTATTAACCATAGAGAAAAAGCAGAAATAGTAACTGAAGTGCACATCTGCAGTCTTCCACCCAGGTTTCTAAGTAGGCTTGGACTCTTGGTGGGCCACAGAGCTGCTGTATCCTCCTGAGCACAGCTAGCCCTCTGTATCTGTGGGCTTCCCAAACGTGGATATAGAGCTGACTGTTCACTGGACTGCTGCCAGTTGAGCATCCCTGGATTCTGGTACCCATGGGGGCTCCTGGAATCAATCCTCTGGGGATACCAAAGGACAACCATATATATTTCTTAAATTAATGGGTATAACTTCTATCATGTGTGTAGAGGACTGCTCAAAAAATGGACATTAAAAAGATTATCATAATACCTCCAAACTTGAGACCCAGTGCTTTCTATCATAGGTTCTTAACTCTGGCTGTGCACAAGAATCATGAGAGGAGCTTTAAAAAGAATTCTGGTGTGGTGGGAGGCTAACCCTAGACCCACTACATGCGACTCTCCTGGGGGAGGAAGAGTGGTCCAGGCACTGGTTTTTCTAGGGTTGAATTTTGGTACTTACAGGATAGACAGATTTGAAAACCACTGCTCTATATAATTAGTTCATTAGACTGTTATTTCCCTCTGGAAATTTGGCATATCAAAGCTTTCTTATTCCAAATAATCACAGCATTAAAAATGCTTAAAAAGTCATAATAGCAGCAGCAATTTAAAAAATAAATTTACCACATGCCAGGCACAGTGGTAGGGAATTGAGGTATTTTATATCTAATGCTCACAAAAGCCATCAAGGAGCTGGTATCCTCACTTAGAGATGAGGATACTGAGGCTCAGAGGTCAAATCATTTGTTTTAGGTCATAAATCTGATAAAACAGAGAGTCAGAATCTGAACTCAGGTGTGTGTATCTGCCTTGGTTCTTCCCAGCAGGACACCAGCAGTAAGAGTAAAAAATACTGAGAGTAAGTAAAAATGTCCAGTTTGGAACTTACAGATCCAAATGCATACTGTCCATAGAAGTTACTTGAATAACACCACGAAGCATCTCTGGAGGATCTCTTCAGAGCAAATTATCTACACTCCCTAAAATTAGTCATTTTAACAGAGTACGACTTGGTTTGACCAAAGATGCTATTACTAAACCTGGTCAATTACGCTCTTTTCCAGTATTTGCACTGAGACTCAAGATCAAGAATCACTAAGGCTATTCAATAAAAATATGGCTCTGAGTTCTAATTCCCATAATGTTCTGAGCAATGTGAACATTCTCAGACTGAGAGAGACTCTGATAAGTAGGTTTCTCTTACGGAGACATCATTAACTTATATTCTGGTCTTACACTGCAAGAAACAAAATTAAAAGGTAGCCAAACACTTTATAGTCAAAAATTCTGAGTTGGAATGCTCAATGCTTACCTGTTCACTCCTTTGGGACAAGCAATGAATGATTTATTCAAGTGTAAAGACTTGAGATGTAAATTTCTTAACTGTTCTTTAACACCAAAAAGGAAGATAGGTCACTGATTTCTGATTTTCACTGTAAAACTGAATAGGTGCTGAATACAGATAGCTTTATTTTTAAAAATATTTATGATAAGTTTTGGGGTTGACATATAAGTCCAACACAGTAAGAAGAAATCTCACTATATGAACGCATGCCCTATATCCATGAATCCTCTGCTAATAATGTAGATGTCTTTGGGCTAAAACTTTAAATTGAGTGAACTGAGGTATCAAAATAAATATTTTAATAAGGATCAAGTTATTCTTTTCTCTTTTAAGAACTTCACATTGGTTTTATCAAGATACTATAATTTTTAGAACAAACTTCTGAATTTAAGAGAGGGTTACAAATCTTATTTATGGTATTTTGTTTCTTCTCCCAGACTTGGTAATTAGTGAACACTCACAGCAGTGATAAGCAGCACAGACATATAGAAGGTGTTTTGATCTATTAGCAAATGGAAATACCTGTATTGTTTAATCCTGGTTTAAAGCTTTAATATCAGAAGTTACTTTAGATTAAGGAAAGATCTGCCATTAAGAGGATTATGTAACACTCTTCAAGCTGCCAGTTAAAACAAACCAAATGAGAACATCTAAAAGTCAGCCTCTTGGAGTACTTCTATTGCCAGGCAAAATATTTATCATCCACTTTAAAATCAAGTACATTTGGATACAGGCCACAAAATGTGATTTGAAATAATAATAATAAAAAGAAGTGGTTTGGATCCTCTATTTCCCATTTCAATTTCCATGTTATAAAAATGCTCGGAAAAAAATTCACCTCTGCAGTTGTCTCATCAGTTGATTCAAAGCTTCTTGAAGAGGTGTCTGTTCTACTTCTAAAGCAAAGAAGAAAGAGCGTTTTAAAAGAGAAGATTCTCTATTGTTTAGCTTATTTTCTATACATGACTTATCTCATACCCATCATTAAATTATCTCATACAGAAATTCCATTTATTTTTCAAATATGCTGAAGTAAGAGAACAACAAGTTTGGAACAGAAATTAACTTAAAGTTCTTAAGCAGTAATATAAGAAAATGTACAGCTTTAAAATTTTTAACTTTCCCTGGCTAACATCCTTAAAATAATTTAAGCTTCCTCATTCAGGACAGTTAATTCAGAGTTATTCCAACCTTCTTGTTTGGCTAAAGAGCTTGCAAGAGGCTTCTCAGGAGGCAAGTCTAATCCGACAGGGGCCTGACACTGTAGGTCTTTTTCTACCTCGATATCCACATGGTCACGATCTCGCCTTCTTTTATCCTCCTAAATGGAACAAAAAGAGAGAATTTAGAAATACTTCAGAATTGATTCCTTTAAAATAAATCATTTAATTTAATTTCAGTGGAAAAAAATACGATGACACTGAAGCTTATTAATAATGAAATCTTATTGTTATGTTATTTTACTGCCATCTACTGGGAAATAAGAGAATACCATGTTCATAAATGGGGGGGAAAGGGCTTCTACATGCTAGAATTAACTAATTATAAAAATAATACTATTCATAAAAGTAAAATAATATACCAGGACTAAATCTAATAAAAGATGACCAACTATCTTTTAGGAAAAATTATGAAACATTATTGAAAGGCCATTGTGAAAGACCTGAATAAAGGAGATATACCATGTTCATGAACTGAAAGACAGACAGTTTGCTCCAAAGTAATCTATAAATAAAATGCAAAGCCTATCAAAATTTTAAGACCGGATTTTCCATGAAATTTGACAAGTCAGTCATACAATTTATCTTGAAGAGTGAATCATCAGTACAGTCAGAACAGTTTTGAAAAAGGTCACAATAAAATGTGTGCTATCAGTTTGTATAAAGTGACAAGACAATGTGGGCCTGACACAGGGACAAACAGACCTATGAAACAGAGACCAGAGCACCAGAGACAGACTTGTGCACATAGAAAAGTCGTGACAGATCAGAGTGGCATGCCAAATCAATGACAATAGGGTAGTGCTGGGACAACTGGTTATCTATATGAGATTAGAGCTCTACCTTATACCACATGCAAAAGTAAATTTTAGATACATTAAAGAATTAATTTTAAAACTTGACATAAAGTAAAAGAATCTTTATGACTTAAGAATAGGGAAAGATTTTCTTATCTATGAAACTAAAAGACTAGCTACTGACTGAGAAACTCAAATAAATCAAAATATTAGCAAAGATTACACAAAGTGCATCTACAAATTCATATAAAAAGGCAAATAACCCAACAGAAAATGGGTAAAGGACATCACAGGTAAGCCCCAGAAAAAACACTTAGAAATGTCAAGAAACATGAAAACTAGCTTCAAGTTCCCTGGAACTCTGGGAATTATGAATTTAAAAACTGGAAGGTATTTCACATCTCTCTGAGTGATAAAAATTAAAATGTCTGAAAATGTCAAGTTTTGAAAAAAATGTGGAGAAATAGGGCTCTCATACCTTGCAGTGCATGTGTATGTGCTAAATCGCTTTAGTCGTATCTGACTCTGTGTGACCCCATGGACTGCAGCCCACCAGGCTCCTCTGTCCATGGGGATTTCCCAGGCAAGAATACTGGAGTGGGTTGCCATTTCCTTTTCCAGGGGATCTTCCAGAGCCTGGGACTGAACCTGCGTTTCCTGCACTGGCAGGCGGATTCTTTACCAATGACCCACCAGGGAAACCCACAACCTTTTACCCTGCTTCTCAGTGACTCTGCTCCTGGGCATATACCCCAGACAAACTTCCTTTCACAACGGTACATGAAGACATGCACAAGACTATTTACTTCAGCACTCTGTGAAATAGTAAAAAATTAGGAACTTACGGAAAGAAAAACGCTACTAAAAGGAAATAGATTAATAAAATACGGCATATTTACATAGCAGGTAAAATTAATAGGCTAAAGTTACATTGTATCAGCATGTATTATGTTTAGAAACAACTTCTAGAGGAAAAAGTTGAGAATTGTTACAAGATCAGCTATGTTAAGTTTTGAAAATATATAAAGTGTACTTTACAAATATACACAGAAGTAGTAAAATTATAAAACAAGTTTACATGTGATACATACCAAATTCATAGTTCTCTTTAGGGAATGAGGAAGAGGAATGGATTCTGGGAGGAACACAGAAAGCTTCATTGGTGTCTGTACCCTGATATCTTTTAAAAAACATAAAACCAAGCAAAAAGCAAAATGTTATGTTTTGCTAAAGCTGAATGGTTGGCATCCAGGTAATAGTTTAAAAAAAAAATCCTGTTTTTTGCATCTTAAAAATTCAATTTTAGAGTAAAATTGACCCAAACTATCTATTTTACACTCCTGAGATTCAAGATTCTCAATAGGATTTTATTTTCTTGGTCTACATCCTAATTTCTTATTCTAGTATCCAGAGTGGTGGTTCTCAAAGTGTGGTTCCCAGACTAGCAACATCAGCACTATCTGGGAAATTACTAAAAATGCAAATTCTGAGGTCTCATGAAGGTTCTCAAGCATCAGCGTGCATCAGAATCATTTAAGTCTTGTTAGAACACTAGTGATTAGGTCCTGTCCCCAGAATTACCGATCCAATAGGTCTAGTGTAGTCTGCGAATCTGCATTACTAACAAGCTTCTAGGTTATGTGGCTGTTGCCCATGCAGGGATCACACTTGGACCATCAGTGATTCAGAGCTTCACGTTCTATAGTCCAAAGCATCTAATACAGAAAATATGACTGGCTGAAGCTCCAGAGAACAATGTTATAAACTATATTTATATTTATAAATATAAACTATATTTATATTTACAAATATAAACTATATTTATATTTACTGTTCACTTGAAGTCAATTTCCATTAAGTTGACTGGTGTCTTTTTTTATGGCCCTATGACATATTCTGGAGCAGTAATTTTTGACTCAGGGAAGTTTTGTATCTTTTTCCCCAGAAAAACTGGCATTAATCTTTTGTAGGTTGGCAGGTTTTGAACATCTGTTCAATGGAAAAAGACCTCAGAGACAAGATCTCTTCCTCTTAAATGTCAACAGTGGAAAATGGACAGATTGAAAGGCAATTAAGCACCTCCTAGATGGAAAGAACTAAGGCCATAGTGCAAAAAGTCTAGAGTAGGGATTGGCAAACTTTTTTGGTGAACAGCCAGGTAACATATAATTTAGGCTTTGTGGTCCATAATGTCAGTGACAACTATTAATATTAACCTTTGCCAGTATAGCAAGAAAGCAGCCACAGACAACATAATGGGTGTGGCTGTGCTCTAATAAAACTTAATTTACAAAATCAAGTGGTGTTGGCTCTAGTTTGCTGACACATGGTCTAGAGGCTCAAGTTCTTGCTCTAGCTTCATCTTTAACACACTTTGACCTTCTTAGGCACCTAGGCCTCTTTATCAGCTGCAAGATATTCAACTGTTGATTTTTATTTATCTTACAGAGTTTACGAGATGGTGAAATGACCATGAAACAGAAAAGCTGAAAAAGTACCAAAGGAAGGTATTATGTTTCTGAACTACCCCTATCTGGTAACCTCATCTAGTTAGCCTGGTCTACAGTAAGCACTTTACTATTTGGTATGGCAAGAGAATATAGCCTTCTGGGCTAGAGTCCAAAAGAGAAAAAGAATATAAATAACATATACTTGGAAACTACCCTAAAGTGAAAGGAGATACTGTAACATGTTATTAGAAGTTAGGAGATCTAGCTTCTCATTTACTAGAACGTAAACTTGAACAAGTTCTTCTACTGCTTCAGTCTCGGTCTCACCTATAAAACAAGAGGCTTTGATCTCTACACTTCTTTCTCCACCTAACACTCTGATGATTCCTACCTTCCAATTTTCTTTTTCATGATTCCAAAATACTACATAATCCAACTGTTAACGTCACTTACTGAAAGTAAGATATGTAAAACCAGAAGTTAATACAGTTCTGGTTGATACAGTGTATTTTGCTAATTACACAGAGAAAACTAAACAAAAATACTAAAGCCATTTAACTTCAGGTAGGAAGGTTTATAACTACAGTTTATAAAATGGGTTCAAATTCTGGCTTTGCCACTTATTAGCTATGAGGTCATGGAGTAACTACATAAGGTGGAGCAGCAGCCTAATTTCCTGGTTATTAAAAATAGACAGAATAATATATACAATATATACCTTAGAAGCTTGTTTTAAGGATTAAATAAGTGTATGTGAAATTTTAGCACAGTGCCTACACATGGTAAATATTCATTCATGCATTCAATAAATAAATGGCGTTCTACTCTGCGGACACACACTGGTGGATAAACACACACAGCCCTGCCCTTAGGAAGCCGACAGTGTAAAATGAGGCAGACATTAAAAAACTTGGTAAAAAAAATGCAAACAGATTTTAAGGACAGAGTAACTGCTGGATGAGTCTAATTTAGAACTAGAGAAGTGTGGGAAAACTTCTATGAGGAAGAAGCATTTGAGCTAAGATCTGAAGGAGAGAATTTAGCCAGGTTGGGGGTGGAAGTCAGGGTGGAGGTAGAAGAGTAAATATTCTGTGTGTATGAAGGTCTGAGGCAGAAGAGAGAAATAGCAGCTCTTTCTGTAACTACAAACACACTGCATTTATATCAAACTGGATTCCTATTTATCCATGACTCAATGGTAAGTTATTTTATTAATTTGTAACACTTCTGAAGTAAATTTTTGCTCATATTATTAATACTAGCTCACTGCACTATATTACAGATAGACATGCTTGCCTGTTTCACTGGAGTTCCTGGTGGGGAGGGAGGGGTTCAAGTGTTATTCAGCTCTCTACCCCTAACCTCAATAATGCCTAATACATATTTGTAGAATTAATAAACCATAAGAGATAGCATGAAAATTACCAGCTGAAGTTCTAGGTATTATCCTTCAGATTGGTCACTTTTCAGAAGATGTATAGATAGATATCTGGGCTTTCTTCGTGGTTCAGATGATAAAGAATCTGCCTGCAAAGCAGGAGACTCAGGTTCAATCCCTGGGTCAGGAAGATCCCCTGGAGAAGAGAATGGCAACCCACTCCAGTATTACTGCCTGGAGAATTCCATGGACAGGGGAGCCTGGCAAGTTAACAGTCCATGGGGTCACAAAGAGTCATACACGACTGAGACTTCCACAACAACAACAACAACATACATAGGTATTGATGTTAGTCGCTCAGTCGTGTCCGATTCTTTTTGACCCTGTGTACTACAGCCCTCCAGGTTCCTCTGTCCATGGAATTCTCCAGACAGGAATACTGGAGTAGGCAGCCAATTCTTCTCCAGGGGATCTTC